GGGGGGCATGCAACCGGAGTTAAGAAGCGACGGCCGCCAGGCGATTCTCTATCTCTCTCGCTCTCAAAAAACACCCGCCGAGCGATCTTATGTCTCTCTTGCACACTGAAGCGCGCCGCCTGGCTATTTTCTATCTATCTTGCACTCAAAAGAAACCGGCATGGCAATTTTTCGTCTCCCTCGCAAACGCAAGCAACCCGAGTTGCGTTTGAGCGCCACCGAAGGGGCATAGGAGGGTGTAACCACTCTTTGAGGGTCGCAGGGGGACGCAATGCTTGCCCTTCGACGGCCCATGTAGCATTTTTCAACGGAAAAATCGCGATATTTCGAAATTAAATTGTGATTTTTTTTGGCGATTTTATCGGCGATAAAATCGCTAGGATCATCAACATCTGAGCGATTATTCTCGATTTTTTCGCGATTATACCGCGATTTTATCGCCCGAAAAAATTGCGATTTTATCGCGATAAGATAAAGTATAATCGCTAAGATGTTGATGATCCTAACGATTTCATCGCCGATAAAATCGCCAAAAAAATGAAGTTTGCGCTGAATCTCGCCGCGAGCCATATGACCTGCGTGGCGGACTCACGCGTCTCCAGCCGATTTCCGTCCGGTTCAGACGTCAGGTCAGGTCCTTTGACGAAGACGAGCGTGAAATCCCCGGAGCCTCCGCGGGGAATCGAACAAAAGTCGCAACGGTGGCCAGCACTTTGCCACTAGGCTATGGCCACTATATGGCTAATATGTGCAAATCCATGCCTCTTAGATGGATAGGCGCTTCGCAACCTCACAACTTTTGTCATTGCGTAGACTAACACCGAGTTTTCATCGGACTTTTTTAATTTTCCCCTCCTCTGTATTTTATTTCATACCTGAAATACGGTTGGTAAAATAAGGGTCTATTGGTAATCTTATCATTCTGGCTCGGTAAAATTACCAATAATAGTGAGATGGCAAAGTTACCGATGGACCTAAACGCCAATATTTTTGGTATTTATGGTAATTTATTGTGGTAGAATTTTACTTCTGCGGTGATTTTTTTTTTTTTTTTTTTTTTTTCATAGTTCGCCTTATGAAAGCTAGCTCACAAGGGACACTTGAGACTTGACTACAGAGCTTTCTGCCTGAGGGGATTTCAGAATTCACTTGAAAATTAAAGGAGGGCAGAGGAGGTTGATTTTTTTATTCAGATGGAAATCTCGCGGACTGTGAGGAGTCGGGGAAGAATACGCCTCGAAGAGCACCTATCCTCCGAGCGCTATTTATAACCGTCACAATTCCTCAATCCAGAAGGGTCTGCTGACAAACTCAGTCACGGCACGGAAGAAATAATTTTTCTCCCTCGGTGTTACTTCCCGTTTCCCATCCTCAATTTCCTCAAGAAAAAAATAGGTGTCTTCGGAAGGGACGGGGGTGGCGGGAAAGGGGGAGAGAGACAAGGAGCCACCGCCGCGTATCCGCGGTAATTTCTAGTTTCTGTCTGTTTCGACAGGTGTCGCTGATGTCGTTAACTTTATTTACTTTTCAGTTGATTTCCCATAACATGAAGAAAGCACGCATGGACAGCTTTTTTTTTGGTGACGTACGTGAAGTACAAAAATCGTGGCTCCTCCAATCGCATAAGACTATTATGCGTATGACGTATCAAATGTACGCTTTTGGCAGCCAATCAGTGTGTTCTCTTGACTCCTGTCCACACCGGTTCTTCTTTTACTAAGTTTATTTTTAGTGTATATCTCCAGCCGAAACTGCGCTCCTTGTGTTCTTACATTCTTTTCCAATATTTCTACATTATTTGAAACTGTGATAAAAAATTAAAAACCCTACCTAGGTTCTTCATTTGAATTTTGTGAGAATTTTACGTTCATTAGCTCGGAAGACAAGAAACCCATTCTATCACAACTTCAACGGTTTTTGTATTGGTTAGCTGATATTTCAAATTTTTCTGATTCTTAGTTAAAATTTCAACTGACTTGTTTGTTTACTATCTACTGCGTTATGGTTAATTGAATTTCTAAAATTTGTCTGAAGTATTCTGTAAATTTGCTGCTACAGCTTCAAACCCGTGCTTGCGCAACATGTAAGTAGGACAATCTTTCCTAGTGAATTACTATTTCTTCATTCCTAACCTTTGACAAAGCATGTAGTTTCTGAGTTTTGAGCAGATCAATCTCGCTCCGATTTTTATCAACGAAAAAATTTCTAAGAAATGTATCCCAGTAATATTGGAAAGTCGAAGGTTTGTGCAGCTCCATTCTTGTCAAAGCATACCAGTTGGTTTTAATTTGTGAGTTTTTACCCCTGGCTTGGCTGAATCTAAAATTGCAATGAGACAAAGCTTCACACAGAAAGCGCTGTATTTTAAAGGCATAGCCGAAGACTATAAAAGGAGAACTGTATAATGCCTGTGTTGGAGTGCTATGAAGGGGCTGGAGTTCAGTGACTTTGATATGAAGCAGTTCTGTTGGCTGCAGCCAAAGGGATTCTTAGCTGTAATTTGAAGATACTACCATATAATTAATAAATAATAAATGCCTCAAAACAGAATGCTATAATTCTAGTTTAGTAAAATCAATCCTGCTCTTCCATGGTACAAAGACATGACAGATTTTACAGAAAGTCACTCAACAGCCAAGCCTGCAAACACGATTACTTATAAATGTTGTCCTGTAGAATTTATTTTTAGCCAGTAGGAATTGATCTTTTGCTGTTCGAGATCTTTAAAAATACTTAGGAATTAAAACTGGAAATCAATACCAGCTGGTTGAGAAGCAAGTAAAATCTCACAGCGGTTCTTGTCTGGGTTGAAAACCTAAGTGCCTCTGGTTATACTGCAATGCTCGTGATGATTAGAGGCTTTTTGATCACATTATTTACCTGTCTGCACACAAAGCTCCACTGACTGAGTGTAGTTTTACTTCAGTTTCAGTTCAGTATCAGTGCAGTTTCTAAGGAACTTCCTTATTTGCATTTAACCATTAATTTTGATCCGTTCTGCTCTGTCACCACCTCAGTTTTAGCTCTGATTTTTAGCTCAGTGAATTGAATATAGAAGGTACTTACGGTAGTTTTACTTAAGATAAAACTGATTCTGTGAATCTAAAAGTATTGTTATTCAGCAAACACTCAAAGTAGCTTAGAGTTTGTAGAAGTAGTTCTGTAGGAGTTCGTTCAACAGAAACCTTAGATGTTAAAGTTTTCGCACTGAAGAGACACACAAATAGCATGTAACTGTTGATGATGACAGCACTGTTGGATCCCTCTAAATTTAAGAAACAAACCAAAAATGCATTAATAAATGGAAGGAGGAACAAAAGGAACAAAATAGCTTTTGAAAAGTATGTATCTTGCTTTACAACATTACGAATTTTTTGTCATTCTTTCTTTTTTCCATGCGAAACTAATAAAATCACATCTTAGAGTTTTTACTGATTTTTCTTCATCCTAAGTGAAATACTCCATGAAATTCGAATGATTAAGTTAATTTGATTTAAAACAGTAAAACGATACCCTAAACTTTGGAACTTCGCAATATAGATTTGTGTCATAGACTTTGACCGCAAAATCAGGATACCTAGATTAGGTAGATATTCCCCTTAAGTGGATAGACTTGTTTTCTATAAATGAGATCTATTATTAAAAGTTTAAAAAAGAAGTAGCGTTCTTACTGAAGTTTCGTTTTGAGGCTCTTCAAAACGAAAAAATACTTCACTATGGACCATTGCATGAAATCAAATGTTCAGAAGCATTGATTTTTTCTCTTTGATTTTATTGACTGCATTTTGACCGTAAAACCCTCGTAACTACTATTCTACAGCATCATTTTTGCTTTACAGGTCGATCAACTCATGAACTTTCTTATGATGACCAATGCAGCTTAAATGAAGAGATGGATTCAAATGACAGAAAACTTCAGGGCCAAGAGGATGATACCGCATCAAATTTCATGGTGATTTTTATTTTTATTAATAATTGGACCACGTCTAACAGAAAGGAGCCAAGCCACATCAGCTATTGCCAAATTTAACTGGGTAATTTAATTTTTTACAAGAGAACGTTTGCGGGGATTTCTTTGAAAATTTCAAGGTATTTCCTTTGTACTGAGGAGAAAATCCACTGAAATTTGCACAAAAATCTGCGCAGCCGTTTTCATGTAAAAAATTAAACTGCCCAATTCAATTTGGCAATAGCTGATGTGGCTTGGTTCCTTTCTGTTTAATGCGGTCCAATTATCCCCTCACAGTCATTCATAAATCATGACTGAAGAGGTGCTGGTGCATACATACCAGTTCCTGCAAGACATCATGGGGAAAAAAGCAGCAGTGTGGGATGACTGTTGGAGCTGCTGTCTCCAACACTTTCGACAGAGGTCTCGCAAACAAACTTGAGATTGACAGCTTTAAGCAGAAAGGAACCAAGGCTCATTTACCATCGGCAATTCTCATCGAAATATATATTTTTTTATGGGAGAATGGTGGGGTAGATACTTTTGAAAATTTTGGTGGGTTTTCATCTGTGAGGTAAAACAAACTTGCTGAAATTTTCAAAATAATCTACACTACCACTTACTGAAAAGAAATAAATTGTTTGATGAAAAACAATGAGTGATAAGTGACTCTGTTCCTTTTTGCTTAATGTGGACCAGTTACTCTATCTTTCCTGTTCAAATTTGTGTAGCTTATGGACATAAACCCTGTGTTTCAAAATCCATGGTGCACAGGTTAAACTTTCTCCAGCAGCCAATCAGGGAAGCTCTGAGTTCTGTACATGCTTATTTGTTTTTACCAAGATTTAAAAAAAAAAAAAAAAAAAAAAAAAAAAAAAAAAACTGAGAACATTCGGTATTTGTATTGTGAGTTTCTGCCCAATGCCATCATTTTCTCGCACAGAGGTTGAAATTATTGAATCGACGAATAAGGATGTTTATTTTTGAACTAGCTCACATCCACTCTTCAATTCAAGTTTCAGAAGTATAAGTAAGGCTCTTGCGCTAAATGCTTTAGCAGCATATTCAAAGTAGGGGATGAAATAATTCTGCAAGTCCAGTTGGAACAACTTTCAGGAAACATTTCCCATGTTATCAAAGTAACATGATGTTGGTTTTCTTTTCATAAAGTCATAAAAGTTTTTCCATTCCTCTTGCAATCATGATCACTTCACTTTTCTTTTGACTGAGAAACAATTCGATGTGAATGGACTCAAAATCTGAAAGAAAGAAAAAGAAAAAAAGTTGTCTCGATTGATAAGTAACATGGACGGTGTTCAGACTGTACGTCAAAATTGAACGGGAAGAACTCTCAGATTTCTTCACCTAAAGTTACTCAGAGTTCTAATTTTGAAGGAAGGGAACATCAGGAAATATCCTTAGTTGTAAAATAGATATCAGAATGAGTAATCAGTAAATTTTAGCAAATCAAGTTAGCTCATGTACTAAACCTTCGCAATTTTATCTCTTTTGTAGGTTTCAGCGGCAGAAGGAGATGCCAGTCATTCTGCTTCATTATGCCCTCGACAACATTCCTGTGATTCATACGACAGAGATCTGGAAAGTGAGTGGGTTATTAACTTTTCCAACTGTTTACAGAGTTCTGATTTTGAGAATTCTTAATTTAGATGATACTGTGTAACTTGCAAATACTTTGTGATGAACTGAAATGGAGTTTTTGCCAATTCTCAATCCTGAGCCTCCTGGATTATCTTTTTGACATGATAAATAATAAATGTACCTCTGCAACAAGAACACCATTTTTTCAAGCAAAAAATCAATCAATTTCAATGTATCTTAAATGGTTTTAAGTATGTATTTATTTGACAGGGCGTCTACAAGTTTGGAAAGTCAAATGAGTTTGGAAAAATGTTCAAAAGAAATCCAGAAGAACTGGAAAAACAGAAATAATACACAGATGGTCTGAAATTCTTGTATTCTGTAAAAAATGTGCAAAAATCATAGGAAGAGCTATTTTTTCTAAGCCGCAACAAAGAACCAAAAAAGTGAATAATTTTTCTCTGAATGAAGTGCTTAGATTTTCAGTGATAAAAAGAAAAAGAAAAGTACCTACAGTTTCCTGAAGCATTAAAAAAGACATAAAAACCGCTGATTATTTAGTACCCATCAGCCCTTCCTTTGTGTGTCACTACAAGTATTCTGCTGTAATGATGAATGCTGTCTTAGGTTTTTCATGCGTTCTCTGAGAAAATATTCTATCCCATAATAACCAGCAAACACTTTTAATGTATGCATAGCAATCTATTTCTAGCAGGTGTGGCGACTGTATCTTGCTTTATTTTTTTTATTTTTTTTTTTTGTTAAAAAAAAATTTCAAAATCTAGAATGAAGTCTCAGCTTCTTTATTTGGGATGGTAGTTCTATAGTTACTTGATTTTCAACTTGAATTTTCTTTTTTAGATGGCAGTATTTTGGATGCATCTGCTGGTGAAATATGTTTCTCTCCAAACTCAGAAAAGCAAGGTGGTGACTACCATAATAAGGTACTTTTTTAAATTAAATGTTGCAATTATTTTGCACACACTTTAAACTAGGCATGTTTATATTTTTGTTTTTGTAGTGGCTTAGCGTGAATTGAATTTCTTTCTCCTTTCGGAGATTTATGAGGATTTGAAATTTAGTAGTCCAAGAGCCTGCATTTTACTATATTAAAAGATAAAGTTTGTGCTGCTAATCTAAAATATGATACGTTTTTATTTCTGACTTTTAACAAAATTGGAATTGAGTCAAAACGTTTGAGTGTGTGTAGTTTGCTGCTTGCTGCTAATATTATGATACTTTCTTTTACGATTGGTTTTCGGTGGAGATCTCTCTATTTTCTTCCTCTGTTTCCTTTCAGTTTTCCATTTTTGAAGAAGCTCTAGAAAATCCCCACTTTGACAAAGCTGTAGCTGCATCTATGTTGAAAACTTTCCGCTCCTATTTGGATGCACACGAAACCAAAGATAAACAACAGCGTGAAAAAATAAGGAAACTGGAAAAACAACTTCGATCAACAAGCGAGTTCATTCAAAAACAATGTGATGGGGGTCTGTCAAGTGGAGATGCCAAGAAAGAAGTTGACAGTCTCCGATCAAACTTAGTTAGTAGAGACGCAGAGTTGTTACGAATAGAAAATGAACTGGAGAAACAAACACTAGAATTTGATAGGTACAAATCAGAGACCTCTAAACAGGTGTGTATTCCTCACTTTTTGTTATGAATTTTGGCTGGTTTGGTCTTTGAAGGCATGGTGTGATAATCAGCTGTGGAAAGTGCTAAGATTGAACAAGGCTTCAAAAGTAAGAGCAAGGGTATAGATACTTCAAGAAAGTATGTGACTACAACGGCAAGTTCGATCGTGTGAAAAAACAGGAGGGCAGCAAAAAATGGAAGACTGGCTCACATTGACATGAAAATTGCAAGTCTTTCATAAAATTGCGCTAGAAATCGAGTTTTTTTTTTAGTAAAATTGTCGCAATTCTAAGCCAAAGAGAGGAGAAAAGATCACCACTCTAAAAACTTTTGCCAAAAGAGGGTTATTAATCTGGGAAGGTTAGGAACTTTCTGCATCCCCAAGTACCAGTAGAGTTTTAGTTTTCGAACTCCTGAAATTCAGCTCTCATTATTATTGTGTAAATATCTAGCAACCAATTTTCGTTTGAATGAAATTACTCTTTTTTTTTGTGTACATTATCAATTTTTAGTTTCTTTATCTTCTAGAACTCATCATTTGGCCTAGAAATTTTCTTAATCTTCCTCCTTTTGCAGAGGTTAAAGTATGCATAGTGCAAAACATTGTTAAAAACCTTGTGCTATTCTGTTTTTCGGGTATTCTTCACTGGATAATGTTTTTGAGAGTAATTTCCAAATGCGCTCACGGTTTTTTTTTCGGCCATCTGCAAGCCGAGGCCTGCGCGCATTTAACTGAACCCCATTTTCAGTAAACCCCTAAAGTAAATTGAATCTAACTTTAAACTTTTTTCAGTTATTTATGTTTTTATTCTATTTTTCAGATTTTCAGTTTGATACGTAAAAATGAAACCTTACATCAAGAACTTAATGCAAGGAAATATTGCTTAAAACCTGAATCAGTTACCTCTGAGAAAAACACTGATCTCCTCGAACAGTTCCATAATAATAGTAATAGGTGAGTCAACCAAAATATCAATTAGTGGTTTTTTTTTTTTTTTTTACGCTGAAGTATGGACATTTAGTCCACATTCTGAAAAAGTTCAATAGTTGATCAGTAGCAATGCCTCAATTGTGGGACTGGTTAATGGGAACAGTGTATTTTAATTTATCTCCAAAGTCAGGATTAATAATTTCATTGCTTTGATCAATTGTTCGGCTTATGATTTTAGTGAATTCTAATGTTAAATCTTTAGTGTGCAATTAGTTGTGCAAGATAAATTCTTGAACTTTTTTATTTAAAGAATTGTTATCAATAATTGCAATAGCTTTACTTTTAACCAAAGCTTCGGAAGAGCTTCGGCTCTGAATTAGTAAAAGCATCTTCATAACACCTTGGCATTGTGTTTTCACATTCAAATCCCTTCAATGTTGATATTGTCTGGTTTGACAGCAGCCTTTTTTCTTTTGTAACTTAGGGTCTCTTTGCCTTCAGCAATGTTTAGGGATCTTTACCCCTCTTGGAGCTATATGATTATAAAACAGACAAATTGAGCCGAACAAGTTTCAAGTAGAAGACTCTTATTAAGTATATATCATAAAAAAATAATGGTACAGTTTTAAGATGCAAAAGTAAATTCTTGTGTTTTGATGTACCAAGTTGCGTTTGTATTTGCAGGTGTAGCCAAGAAAACGAGTTCCTATCCACCCCAAGCAGTAACAAGTCAGTGTCAAACTCCGCAAATTCAAATAGCACCTGCGGAAACTGCTCCATTCTAGAGAGCCAGCAAGAAGACTTACTGGCTGGGCGCCTAGCGTTTGAAGCCACTCTGAAAGCTGTGAAGGAAATCCTAGAAAACATTGCATTCAATCGCCATCCAGCCGTCAACTCAAACGATGATGGAAAGTCAAATATCTGCACGGAGCTCAAATCACCCAAAAAAAAATCAGTTGAGTCACAAACTATCTCATATAATGAACTGTGCCAACAATACCTCGATCACATAAATACCCTGAAAGAAAATATCTGCATGAGAGTTAAACATCACGAGTCGACTATTGCTGAGCTACAAGACGACATGGAGAAGCAATCTCGAACAGTCACTAGTTTGCAGAGCCAGAAAAGAGCATTAATCAAAGAAGTGGAGTCGTTGAAGCACAGACTGCAAGAAACGGAAGAAGGGGCAGCTAGGTTAAGCCAGAAGTGGCAAGAAGACTTGAAAAACGCGGAAAACACACACAAATCTGCTTTGAAAGTACTCCAGTCCGAGGTGCAAGAACTCAGCTTAAACCTGGAGACAGAGCGCAAAAATCATAGCAACAGTATTGCAAAATTCGAAGCTACAGTAGAGCAGCAGGCATCGAACCAAGAAAACATGCTAGCAACAGTGTATCAGAGTCGATTACAAGAGATCCAACTTTCTTACAACAATGATATCAAATCTTACAGTAACCGAATTAGTGAACTAGAAGAACAGCTTCGGTCTGCTACTGCAGAACGGTATGATTTAATCCAACAGCTTCAAAGTCGTCAAAGTGAGTTGCAGAACGCTCAGCTTGACAACGATCAGTCATGCAAGGAAATCCAGGAACTGGTGAAAGTCAGTGATAATCTACGGTTGCAGCTTGATAATATGAGAAGCTCCAAAGAAATAATGGAGAAAGAGCTCGAAGCTTTACGCTGCAAGGTAACCCTTGCCAACAAGAAAGTTGATGAGGTGTCTCAGCAGGATAAAAACTTGTGGAAAGTTTTTATAGAACGGTCACAAGCTATCATGGCAAAAGATCCTGAGACCTGGATGGAAAAAATACGAGACTTGAGTATTGAGTCAACAAGTGAGTTTAATAACCCCACTTGTGATTCTCATTTGACGAATGCAGACTCTTTGAAAAACTTTCATGATGTAATTAGTGAAGCCTCAAATTCCAAAGACGACTCAGGAATTCTCGGCAGTAATGCCAGCACCACCATTTTGATCAGTAAAGTGCGCAATGAGCTTGACGAATCAAGTTTTCTCAACAAAAACATTACAGATGAGCTAATTTTGTTAAGAGGTGAAAGAGTAGACTTGTTCAATAGAAATGACCAACTCACAACTGAAAATAACACTCTAAAGTCAGCTCTAGAAGATAAAGTAAAGAAAGAAAATTTGTTGCGTGAAACAAACCGATGTCTAGAAGAGCAAATTGTCGAGTATGAAAGGAGGCTTAGTCATTTGAAAAAATTGTGTGAAGAAAAACGAGAATACCAGCCAGCAGAAGGAGAATGTGGCAGTCATGAACATCTAAGAAAATCGTTGAGCACTGAAGAAAGGCGTAATCTAACTACTTTAGAGAGTAACACATCACTCGAATGGGGCAATCAAGAATACGATCATCTTTCCAAAGTAAAGTGTGATTGTGGGGAAGTGATAGAATCTTTGAAACAAAAAATAGTGGACCTTGAGCGAAAACTTGCTGAGAGTATTTCTGCTGAGTCGGTGCACGAGTCTGTTGAACAACTCATAGTTGAGAAAGAATCTCTCCTTCAGAAAGATTTTGAGCGACTTCAGCAAAACCGACTTCAGCTGGAGAAAGAAGAGACCCTGAGAGCAGAAAATCAGGTGCTGAAGAGCTCTATCCAAGAAGTAAATCTCAGGAACCAAGAACTTGAAACTGAAATAAAATCCCTCTCTAATGTCATGGATGTCAAGCTGTTAGAAACTGAAAAATCCAAGCTGCAAGCTCTTGTCAATCAGCTAAAAGATGAGGAAAATTCTCTATCAGAAGAGGTTGAATCTTTACGATCAAAAAAAACTAAGCTCGTCGAAGAAATGAACTATTGCCATGCCCAAAAAAGGAAAATAGAGAAAGATTCTGAAGCAAATGTCCTGAGAACTAAATCAGATAGACAGTCATTGCCTCTAAGCTCTAGCTTGGAGCATGAGAACATTGTGAGCGATGGTAACAAGTTATATTCTGCTTTTGCAAATTTTGATCAAAACCCGATTATTGCAACCTCCACACCTTTTGTTGAAAAGCTCAAAATTAGTAAGGAGAATGCAGTAAATAAATGCAATTTTATTCTAGAAGAAGAAGAGGATGTTGATTTGTCAGGAAAGAATTCTCGGGTCGAAGACCTTACTCATCCGTTTATAATTTCTTTGGAGTGCATGGGAGATGTAAAAGCCCTCCGTGAGGAGAATCGAAAATTGCTTTTGGATAAACATAATTTAAGTACAAAACTCCAAACTTTGCAAAGCACTCATGATGATGTTCGGTTGAAGTTGGACCAGGTGACACAAACCTGTTTGGCTATGGAGAAAAAAATCGAAGAGTTAGAATCTTCGAAACAAATAGGAAATACCGAGCAGATATCATTCAACACTTCAGATGAAAGAGCAAAAATCAACGCTCGAATTGACAATCTTGAAAATTTCTTAGCGAACTGTGGGGTTTGCGAAGATAATATTGAGACTTACCAAGACCTTCTTGAGTTGAAAGAAAAGGTGAACATGTTAATAGAATACAAATGCAGAACAACGTTACGGTTGCAGTCTGTTGAAAGTAAAATCGCTGGTTTAAATGATGAGATAAAAGCTTTGTGGTCTGTAAACAATGAGATTCTCTCTAAGGGTCAATTGAATCTAGAGGAAATTAAGTTAACAATCGAGAATAATGTTATGCAGATTATCAGCAACATGCAAAATCAGAACGGGTCTGGCGATCAGGACAAGTGTTTTGAGCTCATCGACTGTTTAGTGAGCGAGGTGAAGGACATCAAGACTGATTTGATTGAGAAGAAGAGAAATCTCCATGAGGTGCTCTTGAAACAGAGCAAACTAATCTCCGGAGTACTCCAGAATGGCACCGTGGGTAGTGTCTCAAAAGCAGATGGTGATGGCAAGCTATCGGAAGATGAGAGGAAGAAATTTTTGCAGATCGTGGAGAATCAGGAGCAGTTGATACATCAATTTCAGGTTTGTTTTTGTCAGTTTCATCTCCTCTTTTTGCTCAAGATTTTCATTTTCTGATATGTGTTTCACCAAAACAAGGGCTAACAAACAATACCCTCCAACTGACAACTTTGGCAAAAAAGAGTTAGCGACTTTGCCGCATTCTACAGTATAAAACGCGCCAGCTGATGATTTAAGTTTTTTTTCCAATTCTGTAAGGGAGCGCTTTAATGTATAAAAAAATTGCAAATCTTACCTTAAAATTATACATAAAAATGTCGAAGTTTTCTCTTCGTTCTGCAAAATCGTCAGTATGCAGTTCGGCGATATTGTTAGTTAGCCATCAATAGGTTGATACAACGCTCCATTGTATGACCTTTTAGATTGCGCCAAGTTAACAGTCATTTTTTTTCTGAAAGCATTACTACTTTTTCTTCTTTGTCAAAAGTGAAACTGTGAACATCAATTAGTTTTTGTAGTTTCAACCTCTTTAATTCTTTACTGTTGTAAAGTTAACAAAAGCTTAGTTAATGTCCTGTGTTAATCCCTTTGCAGAAGATAGGAGTTTTTAATGGATATAGGTGGAACTTTTTCGATTCTGAAAATTTTTGACCCCTGTATGACCGAATCCGAAGCTTCAGTTCCCACGATGAACATCCCTTAAACTCTAGTCCAATCAACTCAGATAAACTTAGAAATGTTTATGATAATCCCGAAAAATTGGACAGGGGCAAGGAGAGTAGACCTTTATGTTAATCTGGCGTATCTGTTGAAAGTCAAATTTTTGCCTGCTGATAATTTTAACTTGAAAGTATATCATGTCTCTTTTATTATTTAACGCACCATTTCAAAGAGAAAATAATAAACTCCATTTTCTTCCATTCATAAATTGTTCTTTCATTGAAGAGCTAAGAGAAAAAATCCAAGTTATAGTTTTTATTTATTTTTACAGGAGAAAAAAGCTTTAGAAGTGCAGCTAGAGGAAGAACATTCGCAGAGATTAACTCTACAGACTCAATTGGAGCTACAACGTGATGTAATCTCCAAAAAGGACTCACAATTTCAGGTGATTGTCGATTACATTTCTTACCTTATTTACCTGCCTTAGACAGTAGTTGCAACAGGTAGACGAGACAAAATGGGATTGATTCCAGAAATTTAAAATCTGACTGCGAATGTTTAGGAGCCAATAATGGCAAAGACTTAAATTATTTAGGCACCTATTAGACTTATTCAGGCGCATTTTGTGAATGTTGTCTGTCAGATTCGAACACTATTTACTATTAATCCTTTCTTCTTTAGGATTTGGAGAAAAAAGTTGTGCGTTTGGAGGTAGAAAAAGAAGTTAATCAGGTTGAACTGAAACGTTGTCAAGACCAAATTAAGCAGCTAGAACTCCAGATGCAATTTTGTACTCGTTTCTTAAAAGCTAAAGATGATGTCAACGCTCTTGAATCGAAAGTGAAATCGGTAAGTACTCGTCATGAATTAGGGGTTTCATTTTTTGCAGTGCTTAACAAATTGGAGTAGTTCTGAAGTTGCTTTTTTCACCCTTTTTCATTTGCACAAAGATTCCGTTTGTGGTTTTTTCCTTGAGATATCCCTTTTTCTTCCAGGTGGGCATTTCTTCAGCTTTTCCAAAACATCAGATTGATTTTAGTGTTACATTAAGATGGATTCTAATGAAATGCTTAGTAATTGAAGACAAGCTTGTGGAAAATTGATCCAGCCGATATCTGATTTAAATTTAGTGTCTTTTGAAGCAATCAGCAGATGGTTTCCTTTGATGCAGGGTTTTGTACAGTTTCCATGAAAAAAGGGCAGCAGTTAAATTTTTTATAACATATTTCATTTTTCATCAATTGTTTTGGTAGTGCAAGCCCTAAGAGAATACATAATCTCAGATATTTTTTTTTTTTTATTACTCACTGGATTTTTTTTTATTTCTCACTGGATTTTTTTTATTACTCACTGGATTTTTTTTCATTTTCCCTGATGGAAAAAAGAGCTAATCTCTATCGATTGAAGTTCAACAGGGGTGTTAAAAACTTTTTTTCTTGGCGCTGACTGCTGCTTTAATCATCATGAAAGCGTATTTTATATTCATTCAAGTGCAATTTTCAAATTGCTTTACAGAATATGTAAGGAATCCTTCTTACAACTCATATGCTGAAGCTCACTTTTCTCTTCATGTCTTGGTTTTAAAAGCTATGAGAATCACTCTCTAATAAAAAATGAACCTATAAAAAATACTTTGAAAAGCCAGTTGCAAACAAATTTTTTCAACTTTTCAAACATTATCAAATTTTTTGACCATCATTATTTAAAAATTGGTTACTATCAACCTACTTGGAGATGCCTAGACGTGCTTAGTTGCCTCTTGCGTGCGACCTCTGTCATCTCATTCAAAGTGGGGATCAGTCCATAAAATGAGCTGCTAATCCGAAGCCTTACAAATTAATTCCTTTAGAACTCAAGATTCAAGGCTATGATTTTGTCTTTTCCTCGAATTTTTTGCGGCCCTATTTTTCAAAGTATAGTCTCAATTGCACAAAAAATGTACAGCGTACACAATACAGTAGAAAAATGTAAGAAATTTATAGAAAACACATTTGTGTATCGGTACATTTTTGGGAATCATAAAAAATCATTGTTTTTATGTTCCACGTCTGCCGCACAAAACTATCTCAATCGTCCTACAAAATTTGTTCAGCCACTGCCGGTTTGCATTTAAAAATGATGGTTAAATTTCATTGCTGCAGGTTGATGTAAAGCCCTTCCCAAAACCTCTGAAATCCAGTCAAATCCCAATCCTTGTCCCTCCTCTACCAAGTCCATCCTCTCAGCGGCTACCAAACTTGTACGAGAACAGAGCTAAGTCTCCTAGCATCCTGCCTGTTCAGCGTCAGACATCTTGTAGCTCTGACAGCCTCAATAACACCAGAAAACTGTCACGAGATGTTGTGAACCAGGTGAAGAGACATTTTTGATGCCTGCATCCCTGCATCTTCATGTGGTTTCATGTGATTATAATCTCAGAGTGTGCCCAGAAAATTACCTCTATCCCCAGTATCGACAGCAGTAATAAGAACAGCAGTGTTTGTCGCTCTAAGGATGCATCAAAGGTGTTGAGTTTTGCCCCGAAGACCAACTGAATCTGATTAATCATTCAGTGCATAGCTGATTATTCCACCACAAGTTTAAGACAAGAGATAATACATTTTTATTTGTCTTGTATCAGATTGCAAAGTACCCATGTTTTAAGAGCTTCTTTTAAGAGAGCAAATCAATAACTTACCCGCACTATTTTAAGTATGCCTCGATGACTTGAAACTTATTTTGAAACAAATCCTCTTTGGACTTACCTATTTTCTCTGCTTCATCACAATGGTCAATTCCTTTTCACTCCTTATCTATTTTTTCAACCATGTGGTTTGGGTATTTCTTTCCCTTGATTTCTATCATGCTGTATTGCTTCCCAATCTATTCTTCAAGAAAATTCTGATAGGGCGCTGCTGAAGGGAACTGAGATTTTTGTTTAAAAAATAACTTCTATGTAATTATTTGGTTTCTTTGCCTCGTTTATCAACATTTTTTGGTCCTCAATGAAGTTGCATCCTCATTGGAAGCAAATTAACATTGAACTATTGCCTAACAAACCATGAATTCTCAGCTGCCTATTTCTGCAAGATCTCATTTGGCACCCCTCTATTAAAGGCGGGTATATACATGCAAAATACCGTAGTTAATCGGTATCACGTAAGTTGAATTGTACTTTCAAATTTAATTGTCTTTAATTTAGGTTTTTCAAAAAAGCCATTCAGAAAAAGACGAATTGGTCAAAAAACTTTCAAATCAATCTGGGAAGTATAAGAGACAAATCATAAGCTCTAACACTTTATTAATTTATTATTTTCTGCTTGTCTCGTTATTTTGTAATCCCCTGCATGGAGTGTTGTTGTTATTGTTGTTTTTGTCTGTTTATGTTGCATGCAAAAATGTGCCTTTAATCAACAGCTAAAGAACAATCTTTTGGTTTTTTTGGAGGTTAAATATAATCATTGTATTATTTCTTTTGCATGAAGCTGTGTTTTTTTTCATGTATCATATTATCAATAGTGAAACTGCAGGAACACATATCCTGATTTGCGATGTTGCTGACTTCCTGTCATCCTTTTTTTTTTTTAAAATGGAAAAATACTCAATGCTATTGCTTGAAAACTTTCCTGATTTTTTTCTCTGTGTGAAGATTGATCATTGAAAATTTTCAGCATTAAAGTTGGTATGTTCTTCTTTGATAAAATAAAATTGGAGTGGCAATTTTAAAATGATGCAAACAAGTAACACGTTCTTGCACTTTCACTGTTGTTATGTGCAGAAATTAAGTTAACTTCAGCCTTAGCTAAGTCCATACTGGCAGTGCTAGCCTTATTAACTTCAGGAAAATGATTAAATAAGAAATGACAGAAGCAGTGATAATACACTGCAAAGTAACATGTATAACTTCAAAACTGACTCGCAGAAATTTCAGGAGTTCTTTTTAAACAACTACTGCAATTAATGGTCATTTAGTTGGTCATAAACTCATACATATGTGTAACCATGTAATTTCTACGTTTAACACGTAGTAATTACTCAATGAAACTATGAAGGGCAGTGATATTGTGCACTGATTATCATGTCATTTGAAAATGTCAATCTGTGATTACATTCATTTCACAAGATGAGAATCTCTCCTGCTCTCTATTCAAGTAAAATTGCTATTTTTTCCCCTTCATACTCTTGTCAAGGCATAGGGTTTGTGTATAGAGTACAGATATTTGTGCATGATAAGGAGAGGTGTGCAGTAAAAGAAGAGTGTAGCTCACGAACAAAAAGTCACATATTATCCAAAAAATACTAAAGAAACAGTTACATTAAAATTTCTTCCCTTCGTTCAAACTGGGGCTCTTAAACTGGCATTAATTCTTTAATTTCTCAAATAAGTCTTCACAAACTACTTCGAAAATCTCAAAATTTGATGTATAATATGTCCTGAAGACAATGTTAGACCAATGATCTTTGAAAAGCAATAGGCGAAAATTACATTATAAGTACGTTGAGAAGAGCATCAATATTTACTTTAGTATGTTTAGCTATGTTAAGAACTGATACCATTTCAACAAGATCTGTTTCATTTAAGATTCATGTCTGATCAAGTGGAATGAAAAATTTGATTGAGTTTAGCTGGAAGAAACTACCTTTTTTCATTTATCTCAGAAACGTCAACATCATTTGCTATTGACTCTCCTGAAAAGCTAAAGAGCGGGGAGGGCTAAGGCATAAACAGTTCATACTTGCGTCTTTTCTACCAATCTTTATAAAACATGCATTTGCAAATGCTCATTTGTCTACTGTATTTCATATTATAAAGTGATCATCTCAAAGCAAATTAAATTTAGGGGAATTAATATAGGATGGTTTTTTGCTGAATTGTGTATTTCAAAACAAAGCATCCCTACTTGTAAAAATGAACAATTCTCATTTCTCTTTTCCCCCCCCCCTAAATATTGCCCTTTCTCTTGGGACCTATCAAAAGTTATCTTTTTTCATTCAGAGTCTTTGGAGCCTCTCATACCATCTTTGAGAAAGCTTGTTCTCCCTTTTCTCAAAGTCTGAAATGAACAACTTGTCACCTGTATTTTTCAAGATATGGGGTATCTGTATCTTTTGCTTGACATTTTGAAAACGATGTGTCGCCTTGAAACTAATGAAAAACTAATCCTGATAGCAAGCAATCTAAAATATAGTATTACAACAAGTAAAGAATCAAGTAAATTTCTCATATTTTTATCTGATGTTAAATAGATGATTCAGAAAACATGTAGAATCGTAGGTATTTAATTGAATGTTTTAAAATCCCATCACCATTTCGTTCCACAAACCCATTCAAGGAAGTACTCCATTATTAAGAGAGTTAATGAATTTCTTATCAGAATTTTTATTCATTTTTTGGTTTACATTTTTGCATCTTTCTAGTTGTTCGTAATTCGTAACTCTCTGCAAAAGAACTGCAACAACTTCCAACGGACTCTGTGCAAGACCCTCTCTCTGCCTGAAGATTCTTTGGACAGCATTGATTTCAGTGATATTATTCAAAAAAAGGTAAGCCATGAATGAAATGATAAAGTTTGTTACTAACGTGAGGATAGAGTTTGCCAGTACCTATTAAGTTAGGTTAATCTTTAGATATAATAAGATGATCTAACTCAAATTAAATTATCCAAGTATGAAATAAAACAAGTTACCTAAGGGATAACAGCGCAAAATTTTTGAGAAGTTCTCATTCACAAAATAAATTGCGACCTCGATGTTGGATTAAGAATAACTTATAAGTTACTATTTAATATTTCTACCCCATAATTTAAGATACTGTCAAGACTCTTTGTTCTAGTGGTACTTTTGGATTCCACCTTAGATGTCCTGGGTGCTAATCCCTCTATTCATTCTCTTAGTCTGTCAATTACTTATTTTTATTTTATTGACTTAAATAATGAATCTTGTTTTTTTTTTTTTTCTAAGAAACATCACGACGAAGAACTGGCCAGGTTCAAGTCAGTACTCAGCAGTGAAGGCTCAGAAATCTATGAAACGCTGAGGACAAAGTTCGAAAACTACTCACAACAGCAAATAGCACTTGCTGTTGCAAAACTGAAAGTAAGTGTGGCTTTTTACTTTGTTATCATCCGTAGCATAAAATCTCTGGGCGATAAATTAATCAAGTCTTTCTTTTAAGCTACTTCAAGATAATTTCCTGTTTTTGTGGTACCTTTTTAAGAATCACTTGAGTCCTTGAGAAGGACAAGACTGAATAAAACTATTCTTGAACTACATAATGCAAAAAGGAATCCCATATAATGAGGAACCCTACACTCATATAGGGGCACAGAAAGTTGGAAGCCCTTCCCTTTATTTATCAAAATTAATAAATGCCATCCTTCCGCAGACCAAAAGAAGGGGATAATGTGTTCTCTCCTCTGCCTTGAAAAAAAAAATAATCTGACAGCTTGAGCCATTTCATATGACAGAGCAGTCGCGATGTTGGGAAGTCTCTGCATCCCTCCAATAATTATCTTACTTTACTGTCCAACACAGCACTGGAAACTTTCTAAGAAATAAATATCCTACCAAAAGAACTCTTGATTGCTCATTTTGATAGGATTAATTTCACGCAATATGAATTGATTGGGCTCCTTTACAAACAGAACGTTTTATTTAATGGACAGTGAAAAAGTAAATTTCTCACTAATTAGATGATCCTATATTTTATGAAGCCTTTGTTAAAAGGGGACTGTTCTCTTATAGATTTGCCGAAACTTTCATAATGTAAATCTGTATTTTTCATTTAGAAAGAGCATGAGATCAGAATGGAGCGCGAAATAGAGAACATGACTTCCGTCCATAATATTGAGACTCAGTTGCTGGAGTTTGAGTTCAAGTCTCGTAAGTGCGAAGAGCTGAGCCAGTGGTACGAAGAACTATCCTCGAAGTTCAGCCAAACAACCAATTTCCTTGAGAGTGAAATACTTGAAAGTGTTGACAATGAAACAATCCTGCAGCACTTCCAAAGAATTCTATGTGCCAAGTATATTTACGGTGTTAAGGTAAAAATTTTAAGTCTTAAAGAATATGTTAAGAAAGGAATGGTGCATTTAAATGCCAGTAGTGGGTGTAAGGTTGCACTATCAGCCTGAACATAGTAGCTTAGAATTTTAAATAGCTTTTTGAAGAAACTTCTCTTTCCAAATTTCCATCAACTTCAAGCTGCCGTTAGATTTGACTTTCCTTGTGTCATATACCTAAAATGTTTATAGGATACTCTTTTTCGTCTCTGGACACTCCTCCATGCTTCAGTATCAATGATGCAGTTTTAAGTTTCTGTGGGCTGAAGTCTCTTAGCTTGTGTCCCTGTCCAGTCACGCAGGATTTTTTTGGCAGTGAGAATTTATCAAGAAATTTTCGTGAAAATTCATTTTTGCAGTTTTCTTCTCAATAAACTGAATCCTAACGACTGGAAGCATTTTAAGTGTGATATTGACGCAAAAGTTTCGAAGGCTTCAAATAATTGTAAATGTATGTAGGATGCTGCAAGTGAAAGTAAATTAAGTCATTTGTTTAGGATGGTGTAAAATGAGCAAGTCATCCAACCTTCCCAGAGTTTTAGGGGGAAGCATCAAGGAAAAATAAGACAAAGAAAAAACGTCTATCGTAAATATCCTCCAATATGTCAAAAAATCTTACTGGATGACTTAATTTTTGTTTGTTTTTTGTTTGTTTTTTCCCTGTTTCAACTTTCATTTGTTTCTGAAAATTCCAGGGCATAATATCTGGATGGAAAAATGCTGTGTCATCAGAGCTGTCATCCATCTTGAAGGAAGCATCAAAATTGGGACGCTTTGTTTTCCCTGACACTAGATCTGATTCTTTTGTCCCTGCTCCGGACTTTAAATTGGATCACAACATTGCAAATCTACTAGATTTTCATGAAAAAATCATAAAATCGTCAAATGGTGAGTTTCCTCTCCAGTTATATCAATAATTCTCCTCTCTGAATGCATTTTCAAATTGTCATTCACTATCAATTTCTTAGCAGAGGCACCATTTGGACTGAGTCTAACCAAGTTGTACTTTGGAAAAAAATAATTGGGCGCTTTGAATTCAACTAGTCGTAAATTTTCTCCTCCAAAAATCCGAAGTCAAGAAAAAAGATTTTGAATGTGAAAAAAGTTTTAAAACTTCGTCTTTGACATTGAGCGTTATAGAGGAATAAATCTTCAAATCTCTATTTCTCACCTTATACTTGATGCAAATCTGTGCGTTTCCGTTAAATGTAAATCCTTTTCAAAAACTTTTTCTTTTTTAAATTTTTCTTGGATTTGATCATGTGTGCAAAAAACTGTGTTTCACTCCTTGAAGTTTTGCTTGTCAACTCTTTATTGATTCTATGAAGGAAAACTAATATTTCTGTAACATTTTTTTCAAAAATATCTGTTGAATTTTTATGTTTTTATTTTTTATTCAACAGAGTTTATGGACACCTTTATTTCAAATCACAAATCAGCTATGAGCCTAGTGGAAGACAGCTTGAAGGAAACGCATGGCAATATTCTCAGCGCAATTGAAAAAGCCACTCAATCCTTGATTGAACCTGAAACAGAGGAACTCCTGCGGAATCGGATCAGCGATTTAGAAAAGGAGAAGAAAGATCTGGAACAAGAATTTGAGTAAGTCCTCTTTACTTAGTTACTTACATAAGAATCAAAATTTTATTATATGTTCATCTTTTAAATCCCCTTGAAATGAAGGAATAACCTCTCCTGTTTTATGCAATGATACTCAACCAAAAAAAGTAACAGTGCAAAGAGTATTCTTAAATGACGTTAAATCAACAATCCTTAAAAAATCAATCCTTAAAAATTAGATTAAGTCACCTGAAGGCTATGAAACGTTCTCTGAACATTTTTGGTGGTTTTTAAGAAGGAAACCTACTTAGCTTGTTTAAGAGCAGCATGTTTGATTCTATCTTTGTTAGAGAAATTTGTCGGATAATTTTAAGTGTATAAAGTTTACGAAGATTTATTATTATAATACTAAGTTTGACCAAGTTGGTTGAATGTGGGTGGTTGGACTCAAACTTTTTACATTCAGGCCCTTCCAAAGTTTCAAAATTATTTCTAAGTTTCTCTCTAGTAATTCTCTTTATCAACAGGTACTATTGAAGATTTTATCATAAAAAAATCTCAGAAAGCAGGTTCATCTCTCTTTGGTGTCTATGATGATTTGAAAGGCCAATTTTTCCTCTGATACATGTTGATCATTTTTGCAGGTTAGCTGTATCACTTTTCAGATCGAATCTTGATGCAGAATCCCCAGAAATACGAGCCATGCTGTCAGCATTCCGCTCTTCTAATAAAGACGTTGTCAAGGCTCTTGGACAGCTACGCCAGGAGCTTGAGGCCAAACACCAAAAAGAAATGGTTGGATTAAGGACCTACTTTGAACGAATCATGGAAAAGCAGTGAGTTTCTTTAGTTAAAAATTCTGATCCACATAACACTTGTATTTTATTTGCTTTATACATGATATCAAGTATTCCATACCTACTGGGAAACCGTTTAGAAAACTGTTTTGAGAAAGTTAGGACCCCATTTTATTGTCAGTCCCTCTATAATTGAAAATTTCTTGACATTTCCAGCAGTTTCTTTAATGTTTTGATGCATTAATTTAAGATAAAAATTAAATTTTTATTTTTCAATTTGTAGCTAAGTTTGCAAAAAAAAAAACCCATGAAACTTCCTAAATTTTAATTGTCTTTGAGAAATTCTCTGAAGTATCCCTGAATTTTAAAATACACCCTAATTGTTAGATATATTATTCAATCCAATCGTCTATCGTTGTGTAAGTATTCCTGCAAATATTTCCTATCTTCTATGCCTCAATAAAATTTACCTACGTATTAACAGAAAATTTTTAATTGCCTTTTTACTAAAAGCAGCGACTCAAAGGCAGAAGATGGAAATCAGAGGTAAGATTGAACTGTTGCTTTGTGCGAATGTTACTTCATATGTTCCAAATTTATCTCGTGGAATTATTTCGCTTCAATTGAATGGGTTAACATAGAAAGACTTGTTTTGTTAGAGCTGAAAGAGGTTTTGTTGAACAGGCCATTGGTTTTCCCTTAGCCTGAAGTTAAAAATATCTAATTTTTAATTAAAAATTCAGTTAAGCTTTGAAATGAAGTAATGTGAAAATACTTGTATGATTAAGGGCTTCCATTTGTCAGGATTTTCCATAAGTAAAATGTGAATCTTATGCAAGCTTTAGTGTAATGAAATATCCTTCAAAATGTTATTCAATCATAGTAGATTTTTTCAACCCAAATCATAATTTCACCCTATTACCGATTCTTGGTTCTGGTCAGTCTTTTGTATTGTCATCATGAGACAAACTAGCCATCTACTATACATTTAAAACTTCCGAGACTTTAAATATTAATGCGCAGATACCTTTCTTTTTCTTTAGCAATGTGAATCAACATTATGTCTTTATAATGCTCTTTGTTTTTTGTCAGTTGCATGTTCAATTTCCTCTAAGTTGCCCTTTAGAATTTCTCCTGCTCACCACGTCTATTACAATTTTTTCTATTATTTTTGTGTCATTTTTCAGATTTTCGGATGATGTAATCAAACAGCAAAACTCTAAAATTTGCATCAGTGGGTCCGATTCTGAAACCGAGCCAAGTGCAGGAGCAGGAGAAATGCTGTTCAAATACTCAAAAATAGCCAACAATTTCAGCCTGTGAGCATCATATTTAGTCTTAGTTGATTCAATCAGTAAAATTAAAAAATTGAATTTATTACATTAGGGTAGCACCAAGCTTTTTTGATGTAGCCTCAATTCTGTTCCATAATTTTCATTTTTGAAGTCCTGTCTCAAAAAAATATTTGACACTAAATACTGGTGTCACCGTACCAGTTTACAAACACCGAGTTGTTGGTGCTGAGTAAATCCTGGGATTAACACACTTCACCTATACTTTAAAATTTTTGGAACACCAAATATATTTGGTTTTTTGTGGTGTGTAAAGTTTTAAGTGAATTGAGTTTATTGATCAGAGGAATAGCTAACACAACAGCTATTTCCCTGAATCTATTGAATGTTGTATGCTTATGTTTTATCAAATGTTAAGAAGGACTAATTTATTTCATAATTCTGATTTTCAGTGGACTGGAAACTAAAATGAGCTTCAAAGAAAAGGTCTCCGATTCAGAAGAGCAATTGGAGAAAATAAAAGCTGAACTTGAAGAGAAATACTGTGCTGAGCTGAACCTTTTAAAGTCAGAGCATACTAAAACAGTAAATGAAATGACTGCACAGATGAATTTGATAAAACAATGGCACAAAGATGAGCTACAGTCCATGGAATGGATGATGACCAAAGAGAAAGATAAACTTGATAGACTCAAGGTAAGTTTGTAGGAACGTCATTGGTTTTTTTTTAAAAAAAAATTATTTATCTTTTTCATCGGATCGGAAATTAGCTCACAAAATTGTCTCAGTTATACTTACCAATTTTTTTTATGGGGAACTGTGTTTTCTCAAATATGTATCCTATCAACGCCATCATTTTACAATTCATGACTTTTGTATAGGGATCTTCTGGACAGCTAATCTTGTGCACTCAATAATATCTTTATAAACTGATTTCCTAACCTGAATTTTTCTTCTTTATTAAACTCACCAATTCGGTTCAAAAACATGAAATTCCATTATTATAAGCTTAATGTCACATATTTTAATACTCACTTTTAATGCATTTCATGTTCGAATATTCCAGGAAGAACACTCCAAAAAGTTGCTGGAACTTAATCATACCCATGAGAAACAAATGGCAATCGAGATTGAAAAAACAGTTCAAAAAATGAAGAGAGAAGAAAGCGAACTTATCAAAGCTTTAAAAGAGGAATGGGAAAAGAGCGTCAAGCCAGAACTGAACGATGAGCACAGGGAGCAGGTTGTTCAGCATCTCAGTCAAGCAGCTATCAACAAAGCTTTGAACTCTGTAAGTTTTCACTGCTTCAAGTAATAGCAATCCCCTATGAGGCCCATTATTGCGGCAATAAACGAATTGCGTCTATTTCTGTTTTAGACCATGTCCAGTGGCCCATTCACAAATTTAAACTTTTTTATGTGGCTCAAAATTCATAACTAAAACCTGCTGTTGCAGTACTCTGTAGAATAAAAACAAAATATCCCAAATTAAGGGTTTGTTATGATAGTTAAAGAATGTCTTTGTTTCATTATTTAGCTTCCTCAAGTGTCTTCGTTATGTCTCTTCTGTGAAGAGAATATTTGAAGCTCTTTCCTATTAGCATGAAAATATCTGAGAATCCTTTAACTTTTACCGTTGAACCATGTTTTTCTTTGCTCAAACTTTTAGGTGGCTCTTGAAAGTAAAGTTAAAGAACTAGAGGAAAACCTTGCCTCTGAACAAGAAAAGTTAATGGAATTCAACAAAAGTATGGAAGATGATCTGGTTAGTACTATCTAGTAGCCTCTTTTTATAAAGTTTTTTTTTTTTTGCTCAGATTGTAGGCCTATGTACGATCGGTTTTCTATTCAGCCACAATTACAATACAGTTGAAATGTTAAAATCTGACCCAGTGCGCATGCACGAACTCTAAAATTTGGCATCCTGGGTAAGCATAAGTGGTCAACTAATGGCGGTCAACAATCTTTGACTGTAATGTGATCACAGCTTAACTGATACTAATTTGATGGATCAAAAAAGATTTACTGACGCAAAAGAAAAAGCAAAGACACTTCCCCACTGAATCTAGGTACATTCCAAGTATTTCATGTGTGATATGACCAGTTACAATCTCCAAATAATACAACTTAAGAATTTATATATTTTTCTTTAATATCTCATTCTCTCTTTCTTTTTATATCCACCATAGGTCTTATAAGCACAGATAATGTAAATTTCAAAAATTCTATTATTAATATCAGAAGCATTTTTTTTTTCTTTTTTCTTCCCCCCACTAATTTTTTAAATTGATCCAATTATTTAATGGGGGGTTAAAGTATTTTTCACTGTAATTGAATGCAGAGGATATCAGGGGTGGATTTAACGTGGATTTACTGGTTTAATGGATCAAATATCCAAGAAAGTGTTCTGTTTCGAAGCAAATGAATCAAAAAGATTAATAGTTCTTTCCCATGAAAGTCTGAACATGGATCTCACAAATATTCTATGGCTTTGTTGAATGAAAGTTGGAAGGGAATAGGGACGTGGAGGTACATAATAAGTTGACAGTGAAGGGGAAGTATTTTCTCAATAGTTCACACCATTTTAAATAATGGCCAAAAATACATACCAGTTGAAGTCCGCAATTGAGAAAGCTTACCTCAAAATGTTCAAGACTTTAGACGCAGACAGTTTTTGTGTCAAAGAAAACTAGTAACTTTACATGTTTTCCTATAATTCAACATCACATTTTGAGCAACAACACATATTTTATGGCTGATGACTGCTTCCTCTGCTCCAGAAAAAATTCAAGGAGAGTCAAGACCGGATGATCGAAAATGTCACTGCTCAAAGTGAAGTCAAACTGCAGGCTTTAAAAACCGAGAAAGAGACAGAGATCCAAGAATTGACCAAGAAATATCGTGAATTGACCGATAAATTGAAGAGAGAATTCAATCAGAAGCTGAAGAATCAAGAGGTTAGTGCTTCTACAGAAAAACCTGTTTTCCTCTCTGCTGGTATCCCTAGTAACCACCCATGGTTTTAACTTTTGTTCTCTTTTTCATTATTCGTAATTTTAAGTTAATAGTTAATGCACTCATGCTTTTATATCCTTGTTTGAATGAAAAAAAAAATAGGTGCAAGAAGCCTTTAAGTGCATTGAAAGGCCACTCGATACAATTTGCGATCGTTCCTCTGTTTGAATTTTCCCGCCTTTTTGCCCGCGAACAGGCCTTTTGTGTTTGAGGTTATCTAAGCTTCCGTTTCCGGTAATTTTCGCGCGCGATTTTTTTCATTTCCGGCACGGTTCCCGAGCGATGTTTTTTGTCTCTGATTTTAATGCTAAGATTTTACTGATTTTGTGAAATTATTCTCAGCATGTGTGTATAGTTGTGAAAGAACTCGTGTTATTTCGTGAAATATCTCCAAAGAAATTAATATCTCACGTAAAGTCCGTCGATTCTTGAGACTTAGCAACCCTGTCCGACCGGAAGTTCAAGGTCAAAGAGCAACAAGTGGTTATCCGTGAACAGCTGATCAAGACAGTTCCCTCTTTGTTTTGTTTTCAAACCGACTGATAAGAATTTAAACATGTGCCGGCCCACTATATTTAACCGTTTTAATTCAATCTATTCCAAGAAATCTTTTTTTCAATACTCGTTTAATCTGTGATAATTTCTGTTTTTCTAACCAAACTATTTTGAACTCTCTGTACTTTTTCAAATAACTCCAAAGCAGTGTTCATTTTCTGATGAATTCTTACTTCCAACTTACTGAATGATACTTGACTGCTTGCTCTTAATTTATTTTAGCTAATTGTATCTATTCTGTGCTCTCACTATGTGTGTATAGCTATATTGTAAATAGGTATATCAACTACTTTCTCAGACTTTAATTGCTGATGCTCAGTAATTTTGGTAATGCATCTCTTACCGATGTACAGTGCAAGTTGACGTGGAAGTAAGTGGTATTGCTCTAAGTTTGTGAATTGTAGTCTGTCATTCTTAAATGTAGCTTAACCTTCGCTAGAGCCCTATTCATCCGTGCTCATCTGACGAAAGATCTATTTTTTTTCATTATTCCTGTGTTTCAACCTTTGCAATTGAGCCGTTAACCGAGTGATCTTGTAGTTATCTATCAATTTACCTTACAACGGTAACCAAATACCCTAAAACTGCGACGTTAGCCTCCAACTATGGAATTTGCTTTTGGCATCATTACTTTTTTCAATTTAGTAATAATAAATGAGCACTATGTTCAGCCAGCTGTATTTTCATAATGCATGGTTTAGATGGCCAAAGTGCGAGACTATGTATCTCCATTTGCGACGTTGCAGACCTCCAGTCACACTTTATTTTTCCCTTGAAAAACTAGTCAATAATATTTCTTGAAAACTTCCTCAATTTTTTCTGTCTGTTCGTAGTATAATCTGTTTAAATTTCAAGACATGAAGTTGACTTACTCCTCTTTGAATAAATAAACTAGGAGCATAGATTTTGAAACACCATATTAGAGATACATTGTGTCACACTTAGGTATCGATTTGCTCGATTATCAAGGGTAGGCATCATTTGTCAATCATCATTTTTTACCTATTTACCTGGATTTAAAAAAAATTCTGTTGGTCCTTCCCCTTTGCTCAGTCGCGGACAGGCGGACACTATTCGATAAAACACTTTTATAAATTGGACGTATTTATGCTAAATGGAACTATGTGCAAGTGGAAAGATGGGGTGTCCTCCTTAGTTGAGGGCCATAAGAATGAATGGGAATTTAAAAGTGCCAGTGACATCAGCGGCAACGAACGAGCCCGGGCATGACGGGAAGATCGGTGGCGGGACTCTTTATCTCATGAGCCCTGTCCACAACTTTCTTGTTACATGCCCACGGCTCAAGAGTTAGCGCTCAGTTCCTTTTCCTTTCAGTTCAATCTCGTCAGGTCAAATCCCGCTTTTTCATTTTCTGGAAAGGAACTATATCTACTTTTACATTGTTTCTTATGCAGTTTGCACGAGCACACACCATCTTTCCACTTACACAGAATTCCTTTTAGCATAAATATGCCCATTTGAGGAACAGTTTGAAAACAAATAAGAGATGAATCAAGGTTCAACACTCAAAATTGTCCTGCAATTCTATGTGAGAAATGTCACTTCAGATATACTCTTTACATGTCACTTCATTTTTATGTTTGACTGGTGCAGGTTTTATTCAAAGCCAAAGAACTAGAGTTTGAAAACCAGTTAAAAGCGCAAGGCGAGAAGCTTGAATCTGAACACAAGCATTTGATGGCCAAACTTTTTGAAAGGCAAGCCATTGAGTTTGCTGAGCAGGAAGAAAAATTTAGGTTTGAGGGTGGCTCAGGCATGAAGAAAGATCTTAACGATGAGATTGACAGCATAAAAAAAGAAAGGTTAGTTGCATTATACTTTTCCTCCTTACTTAAGTATATTCTGCTAGAATAATTTTCACCCTATCTTCTATATCTGAGGTTGGTAAAAGCTACATGGGGCTACGCTCCTTGGCTGCTTTACGGCACAATCCCCAGAAGGCACTTTGCACACTCTAAAATCCACTTCACTAGCCCCCATGAGTTAATGTGAATAGAGCAGGCTCATGTAAAGACTATTTCCCATTAATAGTCGCCAAAATTATAAAAATTTGCCAGGTAGATCTGTAGAACAAACTGTGACAAACATTAAAAATCTCCTTTGTTCAAATGGGAGAATACACAACTTTATTTTGTAATGTAAAGTAAATTTTTAAAATCTGAATAGAGCAAGCCCATCTGGGAACTATCAACCGTTGATCGCTGCAAAAATCATGGAAATTGGCGCATAGACTAGTAGAATGAACTGTGACAAAAAATGAACAATCAAAGAGTCAGAGAGCTGACAGTAATAATTTACTCCCTCAATGAAACCAATAAGTGGATCTTGTAAGCTGCAGTTCTCTCTGCCTAATTTTTCTGAAATGAATAATTTTGCGTTAATCTTTAGCAATGTCTTCCAATTTCAGAGACTTTTTGAAGCAGATTTCAAGCACTCTCAGATGTGTTGTTAACGAATTGGGCAAGTATTTGATAACATGCGAAGACGAACTGAACAAGACTCTGGTCGAAGAGATCCTTCGACTGAGCGAAACCTCGGACGAAGATTCGGACAACTCACTGTATTCAAACTCATACTCGAGAATGCAACAATCACAACCAAAGAAGGTCAAGCGGGTCCACTTCGCACCGGAAATGTCCAGTATTATGAATCAGCTGAACGATAGTTCCTTCCATGACTTTATTGAAAACAGGTTTGTTTGATTTGTTTGTTGATTCTTCGTCTGTTTAATTGAAAAAAAATTTAAAAGCTAACCGTGAACATCATCAGTTGATTCATAAGATTGTCATGTGCTTTTTAAAACAATATTGGGCTCTCCAAGTTACTAAAAAAAATTTTAAAAGAAAATAAACAATCGATCAATCAAAAAAAAGAGAAAGACAAATAGTTTTGTACATAATTTTTAGTTCATTCTTTAATCCTTGTTTATTCGCAAACTTGTTTCCCCTGTAGTTGATGTATTTTCTGTTTTTAACCTATTGTCGGATAACGGCCGCTAATATACTAATCGGGATACCCTCATTTAACAACCGAGGAACGCAAGACCGCATGCTGGCGGTTCCACGTTCGACGAACGCGGAACCGCCTAGGTGCTGTCCTGCGTTCCTCGCTCAGAGGCAGCACGGAGGTACTGTCGTACAGCCCCTGTGTCAGTACCAACTTTTCATATTTTGTTATTATTTTCCAGGTGTGATTTTTCAGAAGACATTCGTAATGAGCTTGATTCATGCCTTGAACGGCTAAAAGTTGAAGCTGCAACATTATTGGGTTTAACCTCTAAAAATTCAAGCCGCCTCAATATTTCCGACATACTTAATGAAAGTTTAGTGAGGGTCAAGAAAGTTGAATTGATTGAAAAACTGCGCAGTGCCAACCGAATAATTGATGACTATAAAAACGTAAGGCATTTCTCATAATTTCACAGTTGTGTTCGAAACTTTTTCCTATGTACTGCAGATAAACTGTAGATGCCCTCTTATTTGACAACAAGCCTCTATGTCTCTTGCCAATTCAGTATGCCAAGAGTTTGACAATCCTTATCTAACCCTTGTCGAGTCATCATTTTTACGCGACAACTCATGGTGGCTTAGTGCATCTTTATGGTTGTGGTTTAAAATGTCAAATAAATTGCCAAGATGCTCACCCATTTTGTAGTAAGACAACAGATAATCTCAGCTTTGACTTTCTTTTGCCCATCACAAACAAATCTTGTGTAGTTGTGACTCGGGAAATTTTTTCCAATAATTGATGAAAACTTCTTCAAATTTTCTAATATTCCATAATATCAAAACTAAGACATTAATCAATCCGCATAGGTACTGTAAATGTTTTCTCTGAAATCTTTGCTGAAAACCTGCTGTCATGCAAATCAGCAGAAAAAATTTAAAGGAAAAAAAAATGATTATACAAGAGAGAAAATTTTCCGAATATTTGATATCCAAATCAATGGACATCTACTTGAAAAAACTACGAAACTAGAAGAAAAAGAAGTAAACTAAACTATCAATAAATTAAGATGATATTGCGAAGCGTGTCTGTCTGTAACTTGCGGACCCTTTTATCATGACTGTCAAAGACAGTTTACTTAAGTGTTACTTTTTTTTTTAAAAAAAAAAAAAAAGAAAAAGTCACGATTCATGAAGTTAAACATCCATTCCTTTTTGAAAAGAAATACATTCTAAAAAGATGCAATGTTTTTGTTAATTTTCCCCTGGACCAAGTTTATTAGGAAGGCACAAAGTTGCTTTTTGGAAAAAAAAATGGCTTTGTGTATATTTTTACTGAAGGAGTTGTAAATTTTCTTTCTAAATTGTAAACAAATATTATCAAAGTGAAAAAAATTGTTGAAATTTGCCCTTAACATTTAGTCTCATGAAGGAATAAACCTCTTTTCCTTAGTCCAAAGTTGATACGACACCGTGTATCTTTGTTAAACTCTGTCCAAATTATGTTAAACTCTCTGTTACCAAAATACAGGATAAGATTTCGCAATTTTCTCAAAACTTCCACACCAATTTATTTCGTCATGTGTATTAGTCTAGTTTTTTTCTACCTGCAGTTTTTAACCTAGCCATGTGTCATTTTAGAATACCAAAGAACTTGAAAATGAGTTGGAGCAACTGAAAGACCGAGAAAAAATTTGGACACAAGAAATCGAAAGACTGAAAAATGCGCTTGTATGCGTGGAGAACGTGACAGAAGGTTATGGAGAAAATTGTGGATCCTTGACTGGAACTGAGAAATGTAGACATGTGCTCATGCTCCTCCAAGATAAAGGTTTGTCTCATATTTTTTTTCATGCGCTTATTTGTGTTTAAAAGTGAGAAATTCTGTTGATTAAGCAGCTATGGCCGTTTTCATGGTTCTCTGGAAAACGGCTTTTCTGATTCCTTGTGCTCTGAGATACTGATAGGAATTGTTTTGGTAGCTTACTGAAAATCGATAGGATATCCTTGCGCCTGCCTGTGTCTAGTGTTGAACTCAATCAATAAGTACAAGCCAAAAGTTACAGTATAGAAAAATCTCCTGAACTTTTAATTTTGGATGCTAATTTTTTTCTAATTTTATATTTTACTGTATTTTCAGAAGAAAATAAACTATTTTTATTTATACTTTACTTTCTTTTTCTATTTCCATTTAACTTCTTGTCAGTTGTCTTTGTTCTTTCCTCTTCCTCTAGTTGTATTTTATTAATTTTTTTTTATTTTTTTTTTTTATAAAATGAAGCATTTCCTGGAGGAAATACACCAATCTTCCTGTTTTTCCCTCCGCCATTTCCTATTTTTTTTTCTTAAAAAACGAAGGAAAAATAGTCTTGTGAGATCCTCGAAAAATTAGATAAGTTTTTTTAATGAAGAGTTTTTTCTCCAGCCCGTGGAATGATCAGCACTCCTCAACAAACAGACGAACTTCATCACATCCTTGATGAGCTGTGCATTGCCAGCGAGAAGCTGAGTGAGGAGTCAAAACGAGACATTGAAGACCTCCAACAGCAGGTAAGTTTTAAAATACTCACCTGAGTGGCTGATGTGAACGTATTTTTACGGAAATTTTTTTTTTTGTTATTTCTTGATTGATTATCATGAATTACGATGAGGCCTAGCTCTTATCTGCAGATTGGCTGAAATTCCAAGCCTGCTTTCCAAAGTGAGTCAGGGCATAATCCTTTCAGCGATTAAAATATTTATGGTATCTGCAACTCAATGTAAGTCGTATATATTCAATAAATCTTTACTTGATACCCTAAAAATGTGAATAAATTATTTTCCTCTTTGATGGCGTATTGAAACGGGGCTGAGATAATGTTGTAACAATACATTTTCTTCTCTCTCAGAAGGATATTCCTACAACACTTTAGCGGTAATTTATTTTTTTTGCCTTTGGTGCAACCATTCAAACTCTAAAATTTTGCGCTCCAAAATGTTAAATCTCAATGTTCTGTAGATTGATCTCTGTAATTAATGAGTTTGATGTACTTGCTCAGTTGATGGTTGCTCATGAAAGAATAAGAAGCACCAATCTCTTTTTGGAAGAACAAGCTGCTGAACGGGAACTGGAAAGAGACGAGTACGTGAAAACATGCGAGAACTTCCGTAAACAGCTCCAGTCAGCAGAGCAAGAGCGATCTCTCCACACAAGCATCGCAACAGATGTAAGTAATTTTTATTTCACATCGGTATATTTTACTGAATCTAAGAATATCATGGGGGAATCAATATATAAAGTGCGAGTATTCTTGTCGAATATTTGTTCTAACTTCAGCCTCCGTTATTGTTTAGAGTATTCTAAACAAATTAGATGATTCGGTGAAAAATGCAATTAAGACTACTATCGTTGAAAAAATTGTCAGGTTTTTTGTGAATTTAGAATGAAAAATAAATGAAAAGAAAATCGTACGACAAAATCTACAGCAGGGTTGCTCCAGTTAGGGTATACCGGGAAATATCAGAGAATTTTAAAAAGTCAGGGAAAATGACGAAAGTGTAAGGGAAAATTGTGTAGTCAGTCACCTTTCTTTCCTTTCTAAAATGGGTTTGACGTTTCGAACAACAGATTTTGAGTGAAAACTATTTCAAATTGTGTTTTTTAGATCATCTGGCATATCTTCAATTGTCAAGTAATTTTACCGAAATATGACAGGGAACTTCAGGGAATTTCAATCTCTTTTCTTTTTGGCAACCCTGCAGTTTTGAGAAATTTATTTTTTTTGTTTATTCTCTCTCTCCCTCTCTGTTTACTCATCACAGTCACATCTTTGTTTCAAAAATAGACCTTAATCATTGGTATTTGATTTTAATTGTGGTATCTGGTATTATGATAAATTGCACCGCTTCAGAATCTTTATCAAGAAGCTCAAATTTTTTATATTTAGCCAGCACTAATCACAGCTTTTTCCTATATCATGCAAACACCACCTTCATGGCTGTGTTTTCGAAGCGAACTTTTCAAACACTGTTCAGTTCCTCTGAATTTTAATCACTTCACAATGCACTTATCAATGGATATTGACGAACATCTGGTAAAAATATTGGGCATTCGTATGAAAACATGCAAGTCAAAAAGTAATTCAAACAGAACCAAACAATACTGACCGTTTAGAATCGCCCCACGCCATTTCCAAATGATATCAAACAGTTTAATATAACAGCGCTTGTGCAATAAGTTACCAGAAATGCTTTTCATATAGATTTTAAAAATGAAAATGGGAATTGCTACGTGCAAGTAAACTTTTCTGATCGATACTATGTTTAATGATTAATGTGCACTATTGATTTTTCATTGCACTCTCGCACCCAGAGGGTTCTCACTTTTAATATCGGCAATGCGGGTAAAAATATGGTGAGTCGATCCCTAGTTCTTGGCTGACTGTTTGCACCAAATTTGCTACATTTTCCGTCTTGTTTGCTTTGATTTCATCCTGCATCAGTTTTTTAGTATGTGTATTTTAGATTCTTGAATTTGATGATAATTTCATTTGTTTTGATGACAAGAAGTGCAGAAATTAATGATCTTGCAATCTGTGTTTTGCGGTGAATGTGAGGGGTGGTTGGTGATTTGAGAAAATTTACCAATAATGACTGATATTTGTGGAATTACAATGGAATAAATTTGAAATTAGAAAATTTTGATCCCAATTTGGAGGAGTTGAGGGATCACTAAGACGATAAAGTACTCGTAACTAGATAAGCTCCGTACCAAGTAAAATTTTCTTTTCATCCAATTTTTTCAGCTTTCTATGTTGAATTTTGAATCAATCATTTTGTCGCCTTTCTGACGTAGGGCGTAACTACACTTAACGATGCACCCTGTCAACCATATAACTCAATGCTTTCTTGGGCTCATCTTTGAGTGTAGTTACGTCCTTTTGTCAGCCAAGTGACAATTTGTACTTCTAATCAGTCAATGATCATAGGTTACGATCTATGTTACCTTGTTTATTCACTAGGTGATTCTAAAATTAATTTTGAAAGGTCAGTTTAATACTACACTTACTGGCACTGAATCAATTAATTAAAACATTTTGAGCAAATACTGGACTTTTTTTAAAGTTTCAACCTGAAAAAGTATTGTCATTGTTGTTTGATGCATGAAAGTTAAAAACATCATTACTGTTGTTGAATTGTCGAAACATTCCCTACCAGTTGAAAAGTTGCAACTTAAAGCACTGCTGGAATCATAAACGTAGATTAAATACTCAAAAGTTAAAAATTACTATTATCTTTGATCGCATCATCATTGAACTTAGAAAATATTCGTTACCAAATTAAAATTAGCGATGTTACTGCTGGAATCAGGGAATCTGATTGAATTTGCAAAGAAGTCGCTTATTAAAGTTTAAGAAGGTAGTGGCACCTGGCTTATGTCTTTTTAGCCTCCAAAGGTTTGTTTTAAAGCCAACATGATTAAAAACCTGTACTCGTCGCATGCACTTGAAACAACATTCATACAAAATTGCTCTTTTTTGTATTTTTTGATACAGACAAGTTCTGAATCTGTAATTTGCTATAGACGCACTAAATATAGGACAAAAAATCCTGAAAATAGCACAGATAAGAACTTTTTGTATGTTTTCAGGTCAAAGGGAAAAAAAGGTTTAAATACTTAAGATCCTCCTGTGGTTATGCCTTTTTCTTCTAGTTTGATTTTTTTAAAGTAAAATCTCAAGGGGGGGGAGGGTCATTTTTGCATTCTCATCATTCTGTTCATGTATTTTCACTTTTCAATTACTTTTTAATTTTTGTTTGTTTGTGCGGTAATTTCTTACTTAAGTTGCAAAAGCTGAAACCGAAAATCTCGTGCGTGTTTGGCCTTGCTGTTGTAACTCAAATCATATTGAGGCGGTGAATTTTGGATTTTCCATACAGTTGTGGATCTCTTGTGCTATTTTTGTGTTTTTATAGATTGTTGTTTCTTTTTTTCGGTGTGGATTTTAAGGAGCGTCCTGGGAGAACTTGTTTTACTGCTTGAATGCCGTAGAATGTCATTTTTAAAGTTCTCTTAATATGAGAAGTACTCCTGGCAAACGCATTAGTATTTAATTCATTAGTGAGCCAGAATTCAATGAAATTTGTCCAGAGTTCAAGGATTTAGCATTCTTTTGCATACTACTTTTAAAAAACTATTGGAAGGAACTGTAGACAATAATCAAGTATAGTCCTTTACCCAAGACATTGGGTGAACCATTTTCATCAATTGCAATGAAGAACCTTGTACTTAAACAAGAATGAAAAATGGAGCTTTATAAAAATTACCTAATCTGTATTTCAGAATTCTTAATTCTGACTTCAGGACATCTTTTTTAGGTTTCTCTCCTTCATTCTCAGCTTCCCTGGCTCTGCAACTTTCATACTTTTGTAGATATTTACATAACGTTCTGCAGTTTGAATCTGCAGCTTCTAACTTCATTCTTTTTTCTTCCTCTTCAGTCGCAAGTCTTCATTTTTGTAATGTGCGCTTCATTCTTAAAGATGAATAATGAAGGTAGATGATGTATATGGGTGGCCAATTATTGTGGAAGACGATCACTGAAAAGTAGATAGTCTGGCTACAGTTGTAAAATGTTCACATATTGTTCACATATTATCCTGTATAACAACATTGTCCACTTTGATCGAAACGCTGATTCCACAATTTACTAAGCTTTTTCAAACCTTGTGTACAAAATATTTGGAGATAGCTGTCAAAAAAAAGTAGGGAGTGAAATTGGAACACAAAGTGAAAGGAAGAGATGTGAAGGTAGGTGGTTACTTTGGAACAGTAAGATGTGTATTTTATTATCTTGAATGAATTTTTCATCGTGTTAACAGATGGAGGCCCTGCAGCAACAGCTTAGAGATTCTAATCATGAACTTTCAGAAGTGCGGGCACAGCAAAGGAGGTGTGAAGAGGAGCTCAAAGCAGCACTAGAAAAAGTAAGATGAAGCATTTCAATGTTATGTTAAATTTCCTGGCAGTTTCAGTTATACTATCATTACACTATGCATATTTTTTTTATGTTAGTGTTGGAATGGAATCAGTCTGAGTAGACACCTTCAAAGTTCATTCTCTAGGAAACTGTGATGCAGGTAAGTCTCGATGGTGAAACTGCAAAAATCTCAACTGCTGTGTTCCGAAATCTCCACTTTTATTTCGTTTTTTAAAAGGAGACGAAATGGCTTGAATCTTACAAAATATTCTTTACATAGTGAAGAAAAATCACCGCAGTTTTCTATGTAATAAATAAAGTATGATGGGAGATTTGCATGGCCGCCAACCCGGATATGCATTTCCGCAGTTTCACCTTTGATGTGCTTGCCAAAGGAATCATTCGTTTCATAAACGATCTAAATCCATCTTCTAAAAGACCGTTTCCCTCCCTCACTTTTAAAGATAAGGAATTTAGATTTTGAACTTTCCTGATAAAGCGTCTTGAGAGTGTACAGAATTAAAGCGGAAATAATGGTTCTAAAGTCGTTTTAATGTACTTTCGGAGGGAATTTTAATAAGATTGCCAACGAATAACTGAAAAATGAAATGTTGAATTGGCTCTTGCTTGAGAGGTAACTGTTAAACGTCTATCCTTTAACAAAAGCGAAATCTTCTAACAGAAGCATCTGGAAAAAATGTGTTTTGAGGATTTGTAAAATAACTTGGATTTCTCTTTGTCCAACAGGTTTGGACGCTCCGCGATGTTGTAAGTGATCTGGAGAAGCAGCTAGCCATTAAAAGCGAACATGAGGTAGAATTGGAGAAACAACTAAATGAGCTGCTCCTCTCAAACCGTTTGCAGACAGAGGATAGAGCTTGCCTATTGCAGAAGGTAATTTTCAAATTCACTGTGTTTTTCTCAAAGTTTCCTCTGTGTGCCTATGAATTTCTGCTGTCAAAGCAAGATATTCAGTGAAAGAAAGTTAGCAGTACAGAGAGCTGATAAATAGAAAGACAAAGCAATTGACAAAGAGAACAAAGGGAATATAGATTCAATCGGTGGAAACGGGTAGTTCTTATAGATCAAGGGAGATAATAATGGACTTACTGCAGGGTCTCTGTAAAAAAACTGCAGTACCATTCAACAATCCCATTTAAATCTGTGTATCTCTTTTTAATAATTTTTGTCTGATTGTTTTTCTGCAGATAAAAACGTTGCAAGATGGCATCGAAGAAAGTGTGCTTGTTGATAAAATCAAAAGCTTACAAGATCAGCTACATAAGCATGGAAGTTCGGACATTATTCGACATATAAGAGCACAAGTAAGTCAGACATTTTCTGCATTACTTCGGATGGTCACCTTTTACCAACCATTCAAAATTTGCAGAAATGAGTGTTGAAGCTTTTGTCACCAAAAAATGCCTAGGTTCACTAATTCACTTTTAAATGGAAAGTTTTTGGACTGGGTCACAACAAATGTTGTAGTCTCAACTCATGAGCCCCTAAAAGCTTCCAATTTCAAAACCAGTTTGTAAATATTGTCCTCTGAACTGAACTAAATAACTATTTTCATATGCCAATTAGTTGCTACAAAATGAAACAGGGAACTTGGTAATAATATTTTAACTCTCTGCAAAGTTCAAAGGCACTTTTTTGTGTAAAAGAACATAAATTCTTATGCGATTCATTGCTCGTAATTTAATAATTAAAATAATGCTAGGAAGTTGGAAAAACAAGCTTTGTAACAGGATAACTGGATTCTTTTCAAACTGTACTTGTTTTGTAGGGGGAAGAAATAATCTCTCATCTTATTATACCAAACTATTTTATGATATTTTCCCTTGTTTTTTAGATCATTGATGTTGAACGTCTAATGGTTAAACAGACAAAAGAACTAGAAAACATTCATGAAACCACTAACAGTTGCCTCAGCTCACCGTCAGAAGAAGTCTCCATCAGGTTTGTCCCTCAAATATGTTGATTTTTATTTCAATTTTAGTCCTTGTAGTACAAAAGTCATCAAATAAATATAAAAATGTATATTTCACCATCCGACACACTCTCTTGTTTCACGATTTCTAAAAATGGTGAGGAAAAATTTTTAGCCCTCATCAACTTATGATTACGGAAAGAATTCTATTAGTAATCCTCCTCCATCGTATCAGCGTCAATTTTTTTTTCAAGGTGTAAATTTTCAGTTTACCAAATGATCGGTTCAGGATTGGGTTTCAAGCATCCGCTCATAGTTCTAACAGTTTTTTCCTGTCTCATTTCTGGCAAGGAAGACAAACAAAAAGCCAAAAATGACTTTTTTTGACTGCAACACCTTTGATATGATAATAATTTTAAAAGCAAGCTGGCTAACTCCACGCAGAATGAATGCTTAAGCCATTTAAATGTTGCTGTTAGGCTAAACTTGGCCATGCAGTGCTAATTACATGTATAACAATTTGTTATACCTCCAGAGGAAACTGTGTGAATCAAAAGTTACCGCTTATCCCCGCAAGAATTTTCCTCTGCTGCTAGTCCTGTGCAAGCAGACTGCTTATTGAAATTGTTAGACTAAACAATAGACTAAGGGAAAGTGGACCGATCCTATTGGATGAAACGGCTGGTTGTCGTAGACTGAGGGGCTAAATGATGGACCAACTTTTGGGTCCCTCATGGGTTACCGTCCGTTAGTCCACTATGTACTTACCTTCTTTATCCATTGTAACAGTGTGCTTTCACCAGTATGAACCCTCCATTTGCTTTTTGCCCTCTTTGTCTACAGCTTTGTCTTTCAATTTTAATAATCAGCCCACTGTGTCAATTTCTTTTGAATTTTTTGTGATGCTCTATGCCCCAGCTCATTCAATGTAATAATACCCCTTCAAATTGAATTACAGAGAGCAGTTGGAGAGAATGAATTGCGTTTCTCCAAACAGAAATGACGCCTTACATCCACAATGTCTATCCCCTGTCAGTCTGCCGGTGGACGAGACAACGCGTCTCTTATCTGTGGTTCATCGTCACTGTCGCGCTGAAGAAGTCGCCATTAAAAGGTGGAGAGACACCGAGATGTTCCTCAAAACACAAATAGAGGTAACTTGAACTCTGCTTAAGATCAAAGGTGTTTCTTGAGCAAGGATAGTTAGTTTAATTTCCGGACAGTTGCAAACTGATGATATGTAAAATTGTCTTGCCTGATTTTTGAAAAATCAAAGGTATGCAAGGGTTTATGTGCCAACAATCTAACCCAACCCAAGAAGTCCCACTAAAATTTTACCCTGCATTTTGGATTTAGGTTTGAATTTCTGATGATTCCAACCATTTCATATCAATTTTTCAACTGTTATTTTGCAAAATAGAAATTGTTTCAGATTTTCATTCTGTTATTTTTAGTTTTTTTTAAAGAAGAAAGTTTAAAGGCAGCGATTATTAAATAGGGCTCTCTGTCCCTAATTATTTTGATTTTTCAGGAGTTAAGGTTGGAAAGAGATGTACTCCAACAGAAACTAGACAAGCAAAATGAACAGATCGCATCAGCACAGCATAAATTGGAACAGTATCGATTGAAATTAGCAGAGAAGAAATCAGCAGAGGACGCAGAAATGTTAGAGAAGATAGCAGAATTTGAAAGTGAGACAAACAGAACCATCCAGAAATTGAACGACAAAGACAAACAGGTAATCCAAAATCCACAGTTTTATAACACAATGAAATTTTATGAATGGAAACTCAGCAAATTTATAAAAGAAGGGAAAGGTTAGGTAAGAGTTTTATTCGATTTTGATTTTTCATTTGGACTAAACTTTTCACTTAAAAGAAGAAACTTATGACTCATTTTAGAAAATCAAACCTAGAAATAGAGGACTGCGCAAAAAATTAAATCTCGAGATGAATGAACAGGTGCTGAAATGTTAAGGATATTAATATCGAAAAATAAAAAGGGGGAAAAAAACCCTGTTTAAGTTTGATGACAGCTACACAGTTTCAGTTGATTCATTTTTCATCTTTATGTCGCAATTCTGTGAATTAATGTCATCGAACCATCAATTACTTAGGCATGCAATAGACCTAATTGTATGAGTTCTTATAATACTACCACTTTTGGGTTTTAAATATAGTTGAGAGTATTGTCGATAAGCCCAATCTTGGAAAGCAGGATGATTTGTGACAAAGCAAGGCTCTTAGAAACTTGCTGCAGAGACCAAAATCAACCCTATCGCCTTCACTAATTGCCTTTCATTGCTTGCTCAACTTACCCGTAAAAATAAAAATTTCAAAATTAAGCATTTTAACGGTAAAAATTTAATTGCATGATTTCTCAAGTTTCATCCCTTGTCATTCTGAAATGTTGCAGCTAGCCGAAATGTCAGAGACTTTAAAGAAAACGTCGCAAATGATGGAGAGGTACAAGGGCGAATTGCAGCTGCGATCGCAAAATCAGTGGGGTGCAGAAGAAAAGCGCAATGCTGAAATTGAAATGCTGACCAATGAAGTGGCTCGACTAACGGTAATGGGTTTGCAACCACTCTGATTTATGTCCTACATGAGGCGAGGATTTTTCTCAAAAACCTCATCTATTGGTCCAGTTATTTTTTTTAAATCGAATTTCAATATGAAGACTTAACTTCTATGATTTTCTTGGCAGATTTGAATAAAAAAATAGGTACAGGAAATACATGAACTGTATACAGCAATAATTTCGATTATTATGAGAAAAATTAGTAAAACTATTCAAAATGATGAATCAATACGGCCCCTCCCTGCTCAATTCAAAGCTGATTCTAACGTTATTGCCTGTATTATTTATTTACATTGCTTCTTTTGTCTTGCTTGGTGGCCTTGCAGCGGTCAAGCAAAATCTGCACAGGAAAGAGAAAGAAAATCTCTGATGGGATATCCCTTGCAAGGTTGACTGAATTCATATATTAATGGAGTGAAAAGACCGTTCTCGACTGTGTCCGATAAATTTCATGCAGCATTCAACCTTCATTATAATTTTTCATTCCTTCATCTTGCAGGCTATTATCAAACAAAACGATGAAAATAGTCACTTGATGGATATGATGGTGGAAGATAAAAATGCTGATATTGACAGTCTGCAAAAAGAGATTGCGAACCTGAAACAGGTAAAAGTCCAAGTCCAATCTTGTCATCTTACCCGATGTTAAAATTTAAGCCTTAACTCCACAGGAATAAAAGATTGTAAATTCACTCAAAATATCTATTTTTGAGAAGGTAAACAGTTATTTCTGTCAAAAATTGTTGGGTTGCTTTGTGAACTGAGGAGTTAAACTAATTATTTTTGGTTGAAAATGTGTGTTTTAAGTCAGAAATATTTTTACTAACGGATTTTTACAGCTTTAAAATCTACAATGCTGCAAATTCCATTTAGAATTGAGTCAGTCACTGGCCTAAAGACTTGAGCCCCAGAAATTAAAATACTAAAGAAACAGTAGAAACTGTATTTATTGACCCATTTTATGCCTTAAAATAAGTTATAATGTGATTAATCCAAGAATCACTTCATATTTGAGTGCTGTGAGATTAAAAACGGGTCAATTAATACGGTTATTGCTACTTTTCTCTCATTGCCATTTTCGGTTTTTCGATCTTTTTGAGAATGACTGATTTAATTAACTTTCGAAGTAGACATTTTGTATGCACTATTTCCCATAAAGGCATTGTTTAATTTCCTTTTTTTTGGTATTTGCACCATACAGATAATGAACCTTATCATGTAACATTATATAACGCATAACATCTCTCATTCAGGAACTCTTTCTCTAAAATATGGTTTTGCTTTTGGTATGGTACATATCTGAAGTCTAAGTGTTTAAAGAACCCGCCAAACCAATTTTTTTTTAAATACAAGTAGTAAAAACTTAGTCAGAGTTACATTTTTGTTTCTTATCACATGTTCATTATTTTTCCCCACAGCAAATTGGGACAAACGAGCAAACCAACGTAACGCAGCAAACAAGTCATCGCATACCACATAGTTTCACGTTCACTGTTTCTCAATCCACTCCTAATCAAGAAAAACTCCGTGACGCTCTCCAAGAGTTGGAAAAGTCTAACATCTGTCCAGAAATTAACTTAGAAGAGGTAATCCTGCACTTTTTTCTTGCATATCAATGTCACTTAAAGCATTTTTCGAAGGAAAAATAATAGTTTTGTGACAAAATCAAATTGTTTTGTGAAAAACACTTCCAAAGTAAGATTTTTTACCTGGTATTTTGTAAAATTTTCTCGGAAGAGTTTCACACTTCCTCTTCTGTTTACATTAGTTCTTTTTATGTATTTTCACTCATACATATTCAGAGTATTTATTTAAGTCATTTAAAGAGTAATTTTTTTAATTTCGGTATTTCAAAATGAGGAACCTCATTCTCTGTGAGAACATCAAATGCTGTTTCTACGTATTTCAAAATCTCATTTTCTAAGTTCTTTTTTGGTTTTGTGATTTTTGCAGGGAACGAAAGGTCAAGACACCAATCCACCAGTCGACCCTTCAATAACGCAGCCCTCTTTGTTGTCACCAGAGCTTGCACCTTTAAAACAGCCATGGGCCTCGGATGTTGAAAAAGAGAGGAGAATCGTAAGTCCTAATTTCAATTTATTCGTTAGTTTTTTTCAAGTCTTTTTGAATCCATAATTTGTGCTGCTAGTATGAAACGTGACATTTCCTCTCTAAGCCAAAGTAAACAGAAACTAATATTAGTAATAAAATGGTATTTTAGTATTACGGTATAAAACGATTTTACTTGAAAAAGAACTGGGGTTTCTTTACTCTTCCGTTTTACCAATTTTATATCTTTTTTAAAGTCAAAATTCAACAGTTCCGTCAGGGTAAGCAACAAGAAGACATAACATGGTCTTGAAACTCTGGGTTCTTCCTCAGTCTCTGTGCAGATAGGCTTATTTTGCTCAATACTGTTCAAGTGAAAATTTCACTTTGCTACAATAGTCTATCTGCTAGAGAGTCAAACGTGCTTAATTAGGTTCAAATGAAGTTGTGAATGGTTTTTATGAGTGCTTTTTGTTTCATCTCTTGCATTATTTTCGGCTCCTTCTCCAGTTTTGATTGTACTCGTCCACCCATGTCCTAAGCTATTGTAGTGATGTCTTGTTCAAAACCTCCAATCCAGTGTAGATAGATCTCTCTACTTTAAAATAGGTCCATTTATACAGGTGATTTGGCAACTGGAAAAATCATGTACACACCTGTTTGAGTTAGGAATGCACAAACAGATAAAGTTTGAGGTGAGGAAGATTATCTTGATCATTGTCCTGTGCTTATCTCATGCAGAAGACAAGAATCTTGCTGCTCACCCACAGAAAAGAGGAACTCACTGATAAGACCAAGCAAACACTCGGTTATGAATTCTTCATCATTTTCAACATGTTATCATTGGATATTAGTCGAGCATCTCTGAATGTTTTTGACTATGTTTATGTTTGCTTAAACATAATTTTGATTTTATTAATTTTTAAGCGCAACACAAAGGTATCTTTTAATTTCTGTATATTTTGTGAAGTGCAACATTTTCAGTGAATGTTAAAAACTTGATTTTCCCCCTTAAGTAATGGAATTTCTATCAAAACTGGAGGTAAAGAAATCGTTTGCTCAGAAATCTCTGCGTCTTTTGCCAAAATGTTCCAATTTAGATTTGAATTTTACCTTTTTTTCAGCCTTGTTACTACCTCAGTGAATCATTATTCTGTACTATATGTATTCCATATTTTCAGTAGATGTTACTGATAAAAGGACCAAAAAATCAAAGAATTTAGCAGCTGCACCTCTGTTTTTATATAAGAGAAAATTTATCTATAAACGATACAAAAGCAAAGTTGCATAAATGAATAAAGTTCTGATGGTTATGCTGTTGTTTGAAGTTTGATGGAGCTACTTTTTTTTCCTTTCGGTTGACGTGACTGTCCACTTATTATCTGACATTTTGGCATGAGATAATGTAACCTCCTCTATTCACAGTTGATATTTTTTCGTTTCATATCACTTTTGAAATTGTCTGAAGTTGAAATTTTTCTTGGGGGGGGGGGGGACTTCAAATAACTTTAGTTTGAAGGGAATATGGGATATTGTCTATAGGAACCTCTTGTTTTTAAAATGTATATTTTAGGAATGTGCATTTTAGTCTGACAAAGCCCATGATACCAGAATAAAAATCTGTTTGTTTTGTAAATGTTTCATCTTTCAAGCTGTCACATCAGTCAGTCAGTCAGTCATGCTAGCCTTGGTGGTTTCATTCTCACTCATTATTTCTTAACAGCTTTACGTTTGTCATTGAATTCTCCCTCATACTTATCGTTTGAATATTTCTGTAAGTTTTTTCAACACAACCACGGTGAAACTGCCAAAACATGTCTCTTGTTTGCTGTATTTTAAAATCTCCGCCTCCTTTTTACTGTATCGAAGCAAAAAATTCAACTTGACTGCTTGAAATTTTCACTTAATACTCATGACGTAGAGAAGACAAATCAGGGAAATTTTCAAGTAATGATGATGAGTATTTTTCCATTTAAAAAATTTAAAATTAGTTATACCAGGAAATCTTCAGTTTCGCACACCAAGACGCGTGTCTTAGCAGTTTCACCATTAACAAGTGATATTGAGTGTCTTATACTCATTAAAAGTATCCCATTTTGTTTCAGACTCACTTAAACAGCTCCTTAATGGAAATGAAATCGAAACTTGATGAGAAAAATACAAAGATTCAAAACCTTGAGTCTCAGTTGTCGCACATCTTGAGCTTGCAGAGTGATCTACATGTAATAAAAAATGAAAACAAACTACTGTTTGAAGAGAAAGAGCAAACGGAGCGGGACCTTACCGTCCTTCTAGACTCGGAATCTCGTCTCAAAGCGGAGCTCAGCCAAAAAATGGAAGAAATTCTCAGCTTGAAAGATTTGATCTCTGACAAAGAGGAAGCCTCCATCAAGCTCTCAAGTGATGTTCAAGGTTTGAAGCTAGTCGTGGAGAAACTGAAGAAGTCCAACGATGACGCCAAACTACTTTGCAAGGAATTGGAGGATGAGAAAAATGCTGTTTGCACGCAGTTGAGTCAACTTCAAGATGAAAACAGGAACTTAAAGTGCGAGGTTTCGCAAATTGGAGCTGCAGCACAAAGAGTCCAGGAACTAGAGAAAGAGATTTCCAGTTTCATCGAAATGAAAGAAACGTGCGAAAGTTTGCAGCGTGAAAATGAGAACCTCATAAAGAGTATGAGTGAAATAGTGCAGGATAATAAGGTATTTTTTTTTCATTTATGGTGTGGTTTGGACAAAATGGGGAATGTCAGTCGGGGTTTTCAAACAATTTTACCATGCTGTTTGAATTCTAAATTAATTAACAAAAAAAAAAAAAAAACCCCTTTATCGAGAGTTCATTTTTAAAAATAACACTGAACCACGGTGCATGATGGATCCTCCATTTCAATAATTATTTCTCTAAGTAAATTGGTTCCAATCACCTTGATATCAATCACCGAAGTATGATACCACGTATTTCCGTTTGCAACAATGCAGACTTGGTCAAACTTTATTTTTTGCTTGGATAACTAGTCAACTTGATTCCTTGAAAAGTTCCTCAATTTTTCTTCTCTGTTGGCAGAACATTCTGTTTGAATTTAAAATAATTAAGTTTGCTCGTTCCTCTTAAAAAAGAAAAAAAAAAAAATAGAAACGGACATCTAGAAACATTGTAATGGAGACAAATGGTTTTGCTCTTTAGCCATCAATATCCCTAAGGATGCAACGGAGTAAATAGCGCCATTTTGTTCATCCCTATTTGATGAATTGAAGATGGAATAATCCGTGAAATGTTCCAATGTTGTGGATGATGTTGTCTAGAAATATCTCTGTTAATATTAGAAGAAGAAAATGCATGTTCGACAGATCTTACCATTTTTTAATCTATGAAATTCACTTAGCAAAACACAATTCTAGGACGTGCCAAACCAATCTTTCATTGAAACGAAATCAGTAATTTTTATCACGTTTTAAAGTGACCTTTCACCTCTTCTAGGTTCTCAAAGATGACCTCAGTTCGGTGAAAAAAGCACTGGAAGATAGTGAAATAGTAGCCCAGTCACTACGGAAGCAACTGGGCGTTACCGCAGCAGAAAATAAGGAGCTGAAGCAATATAACGTTAGATCGCAAAACGAACTGGAGTCAATCAAGCAACTGAATGGCAATTTAGAGTCACTAGTGCAGTCCACCAAGGCTGAGTGTGAAAATCTTCGCAGTCAAGTAGATGCATTAGAGAGGACTAACGAGGAGCTGAAGGCGCAGTTTGAACATGCACAAAGTAGGCTCAGAGCGGGAAGTTGTGAATGGAATAACCCTATCAAGAGGTCAGTTGCCATTGTGCATTTTGAATGGATCATTTTGTTGCCGGAAGGGTAGAAATCTATTGATAAAGTTACAGGACACTTTTAATGAAGTCGTCCATGTGAAAAAATCACTGACATTTTTGGTATTATATTCCTCCTTGTTTTTTAGGTAAGAATTAAATTTTCCAAATGCTTTTGAATCATTGAAATTAACTCACTTAATCCTGTAAAAAATTCATAAAGCTATACCCATAATCAAAACGGTTAACTTATTACTAAACACAAGAGCATAGAGGAGGTAAAGCTATATCCATAATCAAAATGGTTAACTTATTACTGAACACAAGAGCATAGAAGAGGTTAAAATATTGACTGCCAATGTATTTTTCGGAAAATATCTTGCAGGTAGTGTCTCATAGGCTTGATGCCTGGGATGACCGAAGGCACTGCATACATTATTTTTCCCAGTTTTCTTGGCTGATATTTTCGAGAATTTTAGTTAATTAGCAGTAGAACAGGAACGATGAAGCATTAAAACCTCTCTTACAACAGGTAAAAAGCAAATGGGCAACCCAGTGCAGCCGTCAATCAACAAGTTATGGAAATTCATTATTTAAATAAAAAAAATCGATACAGTAGTCATTTTTTAGATCAAGATCAAGAGAAATGCATAACGTTATTTTCCCTGCAGCCGTCAATCAACAAGTTCTGGAAATTCATCATTTAAATAAAACAAATTGATACAGCAGTTATTTTTTAGAGCAAGAGAAATGCTAACGTTTTTTTCTTCGTGCTCATACTTAGACTAGGCAGGCAGAATACAGATGAATGCAGGCTTAGAGGCACAGAACAATCAGTTGCTTTCTTTATCCTGAATAATTGAAGAAGTCTTGATCTGTAAATATGTTGCGCCGTTTTGAAAATATCTCTACAAAGGGTGTTGTTCCAACTATGATCTGTTCTTTTTCAGCCTGTATGTACCATTTGATGAAACGGGCAAAGGAGTGTTTGAATCCCTGCAGTTGGTGCAAGCTGAGTTAGCAGAGGAAAGGAATCGGTTGGCATCTGTGAAAGAGAAGTATGACTCGCTGAAAGTTAGCTATCAGAAAGCGCTGGAAAGCAAGAAGATGTGTGAGAAAAAACTGCAAGACTTGAAAGGAAGTCTGAATTTGGCCAGAGAAAAGGAAAATGATATCAATCATTCAAATTTGGCATTGGACTTAAACGGCTATCAACCACGCTCGCTCATGGAGATGGAGGGATTGACTTCTCACAGAGGCACGGGTAAATATTCTCATCCATTTAGACTGGAAAAAACTTTTATGTAGAAAAACGTACGTCTCCAAAGAGTATTAAAACTAAAATAAATTCTCTCCTATGGGTTTTTTTTTCTTGCACTAGGTGTTTGCTACTGTGTCATCTAAAAGCAAAACGAATCTGAGAAGATTTTAACATCAAGATTTTCTCTGATTATTTTTAGCTAATCTCAATCGTCCCTCATGGTCATTCTTATGCCACCATGTTGTAATTAACAGACAGAAGTCAGTACTTTTTGGTATGCATTAACCATATTACTTTCTTGATCCGGTTAAATGAAAGAAAAAAATAAAGCTTTTCACCTCCCTCCCCCCCCCTTTTAAACTCGTTTGTATTTTTGTATGGTGCGGAAACTCCAATTCCTCTCTCCTGCAACTACTTCTTAAATGCTCTTTAAAACTATCATAACGAGTGCTTTTTTTACTTCAATTCCTTTTCAGTTTTTTTGCTCTACCATTGTTGTTAAAAAAATTTAAATCTTAATTGCAGGCTCAGTAGAAGATCTGACACGCTGCGTTCAAGAAGAGTTGAATAGGTCGAAGCAGTTGGATGATACATTGATCACTAGCCTTACGCCAACCAAACACTGCGCACCACAAGCATCATCAGAATCCCATGCTGTAAGTGTCATCATTTTCATTCCCATTGCTTCTAAATTTTTAATCTTCAAATCTGATGTTTTGACTTGACTGAACAAAAATTGTCTCACCAAAAATTTTGCCTCCGTGGAATATGATTCTTTTCAAGACCAATCTACACAGGTCAGTCATTCCCGAGGACGAGTTTTGGTATTCTACTGCGCAGTGACGTAGTATTGAGTGCCTGCAATGTATTTCTTATGGGAGCACCCATTGTGACGTAGCATTGAGTGCCGCCGAGTTACGGCCGGGCGGGGAAGTGGATTTCAAAAAGATGCGCAATGACTGACCTGTGTGGATTGGTCTTGATTCTTTTTTCTGTTCACGGTTACATCTGTCAAAGAGAAAACTTTATGTTTTTGTATTGCACACAATATGTGAGTGCCTCTTGTTGGTATTCTATTGTTCAAATTGTAGAATCCAATTTTTCCTTTGCCTGGTTTAGATAATTTATCTTAGATTATTTTATCTTGATTCTTGATAAACAAAATTTGATGTTTTTATTTTGTATCAGATGCTGATGGAGTCGGTACTGAATTATCAGGTCCAGATTCAAAATCTGGAAACGCTCCTGAATGAGGAACGGAAGAAGGTTAAAGATCTGCAACTTAAGCTGGATATTGTGGAACAGGTATCGACGAATATAACAACGTATCAGGATGATCGATTAGTCAATATGACGTAAGTATGCTTATTTAGGAATTTTGAATGGTTGAAGGTATGAAAGAGATTTTTTTATTTTTTTTTCCTCCCTAATGTCCAAATATCAAGTTTTGTATTAAATTATCGCAGTATTATCTATCAAAAAATATTCGCAAACTTTTGACTGTCCATACTGCGATTCATGTGGCCATCCAAAATTGAGATGTGTCCCATTGCATGTAGGAGTGTTTATGAATTTTTGGCCCAAAAAATGTCAAATTAAACCCAAGATATGTCTCTTGAATGAGAGTGAACGTTCTTGTTAAAAACTCAAATTCAGATTTTCAGGGATTTGCTCTGAAAAATCTTCTACTTCGCTGACAAGATTTAGCTTCAAGTATTGTTACTATCCAGTTTTGCTTATTTTTTTCAGCGTTGAATTGTCTACATTTAAAGAAAAAGTTCCGTTCTTAGAACTAGAGTTGCTTGAGAGTCAAACGCAAGTCAAGCAGTTGCAAACCGATTTGTTGGCAAGGAAGAGGATATGTTTTCAACTACAGCAAGAGACAGCGCTTTTGGTAGAGGTAAGATTTCATGTCTCGCTTTGAAAACTGCCCAACTCAGTGAAAATTAAAATCCCGTTTCATTGTAGCAAAGTTGTTTTTAGAGTTATTTGTATCTTTCATTTTTTTTTTTCTAAAATTTTTATTCATTTTGCATTGAAAAACTAACATGAATTTTTGTTTGTTTCGAAAAATGCCCAAATCCAATGCTCAAAATCGTCCATACTGCACAATTAAAGGACCAGTAAGCTTCAATATTTTAGCTGCAACACTCTTTTCAGGAACTAAATAACATGCGATGAAAAAATTTTCCATTCACCAAAAATTTTCAGCTAAATTCAGTTTTTTCCTTTTTCTGGATTTTTTTTTTTTAATGCGTCAAGCATTTCTCAAAACAAGCCTTTCAATCATATTTGCTATGAGTATTTTATATTTTATTCACACAAACTCTTACTAGATAGTAATTAAACAACAAACTTTTTGATTTTGTGACCCAATTATTGTTCATGTATGTTTATACCCAGAATTGGTGTTCGGGTCCGGTGTTCGGTGTTTACGGTGTTAGTATCAGAATCAGTTCTTAATTTGGGAAGAAAAGTTGAAGAATTTGAGCACCCTCAAATAAACTTCAGATTCTATATTTTGTTTAATTATCTCGTCAAAATCATAAAAACGGAAAATTCAGATTAATTTAAGCTAATGAAGCTGTAAAAAAAGTTTTGGTAGCGTAAATTTTGACTTAACCACCCCCCCCCAGCCAAAAATTTGGTGCAAAGTTTTTCCAAATTCTCTTATGAAAATTAGGAAACGGCCCTATCTCCTCAAAACTTATGAAAGTCATAAAGGCAGTAGCCAATTTTTTTTCAGTTATTCTGAATTTAAGTCAGAGTTGAATTCATATTGGGATAGTAAGAATCATGATTATTTTAGCATATCACCGCCATTTTTATTACGTTTCAGAGTCATCAGAAGGAGCTGAATAAAATTCTAGATGCCAAAGTTCATTTTGAGCTTTTATATCAGAAAGAGAAAGCAAAGTGCGAGGAGCTACAAGCTCAAATCAAGTCTTCAAAACCAGTACAACAAGACTCGATGAATGAACAACATCTCAAGGTAATATTCATGTTATGTTCTATTATATTTTTTATACATTTTTATCTCAATCGATTTTCCTCTTCTTGGTGGAGCCAGCTCTCTTCTCAGATCGGAAATTCCGAGTTGGGAATAATGAAAGCAGAATTTTCCATAACCAAAGATTTCTAGTAATATTTTTACCGACAGGATTCATGAAATGTGATAGCCTGTCTGAAAGTTGCTGTAAAGCCTACACGTTATGTTTTTGAGGCCAAGTAAAACTGCCAGAACATGTATTTATTGCTTGGTTTCAAAATCTCTGTTCTCATTTTATCTTACTCATCTCACATCTCCCTCAATTAACTGTAAGGAGTGTAAAATCTCTGATTTTTGGGAAAAGTAGTCTCAATAGTAGTAGAAAAAATTACAAATTTTTTTGAATATGTATCTCTCAGCTAAAAGGTAAAATGTAGCCAGTAATCTTAAGATTGTAATGAACTCACGACCATAAGCAAAAAAGCAATTTAAGTAAGGCTCAAATTGCACATCTGACCATTTCGCAGTTTCCCTTACTCTCAAGTCAAGGAAAAACGCCTTATGAGCCTTCGGATGTTACCAACTTTAATTTGACAAATCAGGAATATCCAGGATCATTTGTAAATAATTCTCTCCTAACTTTTAGAGAATTTTAGTTTTGTTTTATTTAAAGCGTCCAAAAATTTCAAGGAAAAATATTCATAACTTTCCTCAAAAATAAATATTTTCCTAGTGGGGATTTGGCAAAAATCAAAAGTACACACTGCGCTTTTCCTCAGAACGGCAGCATGATTGTGAGTTCTCTTCATTTCATGTAACCCAAAAGCTAATTTAGGAAACTCTTTTGCAGGAAAAACTGAACGAAGAACAAGAGAGATGTATCAAGCTGGAAGTGGAGCTGGACCAGCATAAACGTTACCTAACAGTTCTGAAAAGCATCAAAGATAAGGAGGCATCGAAATCAAATACATTGGAAAAAGATTTGGATACTCTAAACAGCGTGAAACAAGCCTTGGAGCGGCAGGTATGCACATTTAAGAATCTTGCAAGATTTAGTCCCAATCCTCAGACGAGTGATTTAAAATTCTTGTCCTTTAACTTCAAGGGTGCTTTCCCCACACCTCCGAACATCTAATTTGCTGTGAAGTAGCTTTCCAAGTGCAGTAAATATTAAAAACTTGGCAGCCATAAGTTTTTAAAGCTTTCATATTCCTTCTCCCATTCTGTTCAAAAGTAAGAGCAAGTTCTCCTTTCCCAGTCAGTGTTTTCACCATTATAGTTGTGTAATCTTAGCAAGAACCAATTAGACGGTAAAAAATAAGTGAAAGGTGCCGAAAAATTCTGCGACATTGCAATGCAGTTGAACTGTATTGGCTCAACGTCCATTTTTGAGTACTAAGGACTGCTTTGCTTTCATCGTTGTCTATATCTGTGAGTAATGCCAACATTTTCATCGCTTACATGATGGAGATTTCATCAAAAAGGCACTGACATTTGCTTAAATATCGATCCTGAATGATTGGCTTTACCTCCTTAGTCAAAAATTTAACATACTTCCAAATAAAATTCATGTCTTCTGATTAGGTTGTGGAGCTTGACTGCCTGAACAGAACTGAAAGGGAAAAGAATCGAAGTCTAGAAGCTAAAATCAAAGCTGTCGAAGATGCAGATATCAGGCGACAAAAGCGAAGACTTCAAGTCGAACAAACTCATAAATTAGCTCTCCAGCGAGCATCAAATGTTCAGGTTTGTGATCACAGCATCTTCTATCTCGCCTTGTGCTCTCTCATAGTGTTGCCAATCATTTTCTGGAGTAAGATTAGCAATTAAAATTTTTAAGTCTAATCAAATTGAAATGAAGAATCCACCAATCTGTCCAATCGGGAAGAGACCTTGCAGGCCTCAGAATCCAATCCAAAATAAAAAGTATTCAATATTGGATCTCTGGGGTTAATCATTTTGCTCTGGACACTTTCTTTTGGTTTAATAATTTATATTACTGTTGACAAGTTCGTGATAGGAATGAATTGTCTACTTATTTCTTAATGTCTATTTATGCTTTTTTCAATAAAACACTCTGCTAGTTATGATGGTTTTCTAACTTCATCTAGTCTGTTTTAAACAAAGTGAATTCCCAGGGTGTAGATCTGTGAAATGGGACCTTATTGTCGAAGAGAGCCAACTTAGCAAAACATTTCGAAATTGGCGATTTCAAGCCCTAAACAGGGAACCATTATACCATACATCGATACCATTATACAGACAGTTCAGCTTCTATATCTGTGTTTATTCCTTTATTTTTGGGTGTACAGAATCTAGATTTTGATCAAATTCTTTACAGGCAAAGTTTAAGTCGGATTTTTTTAACAACTCGGTGTCAGTTTCAGATCACAACCAGATCCATTCACTTATAAGAGCCTTTCTGACGAGCTGACACCAATATCATTCTTGCCAAGATGGTGAAATTTCTTGACAGTGTAACTTGCAGGCAAATACCAGCTCTTCTATCCAATTTGCTGCAAATTTTCTCATTGTCATTCCTAATATACTGGTAGACAGATATATGAAGTAGACACCCCCGGATGCAAGTGAAGCAAAGAAAGAGTTGGCCGACACGAGTACTCGTTGTTTAATTGAGAAGGTCCTCATGCATGGAAAAAAAATCTGAATTCACCCTAATTTATTGATTTTTAATTTTTAGCTGCTTGAATTCCAGGAAAAATAGACCCTATCATGACTGCTCGAATATGTACCTTAACTCTGAAAATGAGAATTATTCCTCTCTTGAATTTCGAGACTAAACTAAAACTCTTGAAGCCCAAGGGGCCGTCTATGAATTTCGTAATGCTCAAGGGGGGATGGTCCAGGAGAGCGTTACGCCATTTTGATTTTACTTATTAAAGGACCAAAAATGCCAAAAAAGTGTGTTGAGTAATTTATGAATGCTCCCTAGTACAAATTTCTCCAATTATTTGATTACAGAAAGAATTGGTGGAGGAATGTGACCGACTAAGAAAGGAGTTAATTTTGTCCAATGAACTGAACCAAACTGCTCTGAGCCGAAAGTTGCATCTCTCGTCAGGTGGAGCAAAAGGAGACAAGGTATTTGTTTTTCTCGTTTTTTTTTTCTACTTTTTTTATTTTTAATGCTGTTATGACTTCAAGATTTGTTATTCAGAAATTTCTTCAAATAATTGAAGTCATGTTATAATCAAAATTCATCGTTTAAGAATCAATACTGCCGGAGTGAATTTACAAACTCAACCTAGTGATAGTGATGATCTGTGTGTATGCTGTGAACTACAACTTTGATGTCATTTTATTCAGTGGATCTCACAAGCTAACATTAGAGTTGCTGGAATTGGAATACTTACTGTCTGTATTGTCTATGAAATTTTTGAAATTGCACGCAGGTTGTATCATATTTTAAGAGACAAGATGAAAATTTAAAATTTTCAGCTGCAGCAGAACTTCTAGAAGCAAAATCAGCAAAGCTTCCATTCAACCCTTGTTTGTAATCGTTGACTAGACCTCTAGCAGGAAACCAAACCAGTTTTGATCTGAATTGGAGACCTGGCAACTTGACCATTTTTATGGCAAGATTGAACTTCTAATAGCACATTCATTGCAGAATACTGTCGGTTAATTTCTTTTGATAGAAAAATACTTCAATTTTTCAGGCATACCCGCTAATTTATCCCACTTTTCTGGGTTTTTTTTTAGCACTAATACTCATTTCTTTGAAATGGACCACTAAACAAGGTGCAAATTCAAGCATTATGATGTATGTTTCTTTCTCAAGATTTCATATAGAGCTCGATTTGCGCAAAAAAAGTACTGAAATTTTCTCCCAACCGAGATTTTAACCTTTTTATTTGGCATTTATAACAAAAAATTTGAAATTTCCCGCTGATGTGAAAAACCAGAGTAAACTTTAATATAGTCGCGCATTCCAAATCCAATGGTTTTGGCACTCAATCTATTGGCCCTAAATTCAAGTTGTTTCTCAATCAAGCAGTTTTCCTTCCCTGCCCCGTGTTGCTCAAAGTGTAAACAATGTGCAATAGCTGAGCAGAAGTGTCAATTTTAAGGTTGTTGTATACGCATACTGTTATAGTCATGGGAACGTTTAAGTAGTGTGTGATGTAACTCAAGTAAACCATGATTTTTTTTTATGAATGGGAAGATTAAAATTATGCATTAAAAAAAAAATTAATATCTTTGCTAGGAGCCACTCTTAGTAATTTGTGTTGAACAAATCGTGTTCTACGTGAAATTTTGATGAGAAAATATTTATCATTGTGCTTAAATTCGCATGTTGTTTCGTGGTCCATTGATAGCAAATCTGCTCCGTATAATTTAATTCTAACATCCTACAAATTTTTCAGAACTCCACGGAGCCAGTGCTCAATGTTGTGTCTTTCGAGCATGCTAGACAACTCATCGAGAAGCTCAGCGAAGAGCAAGCTGATTTCAAACTTTCAATTGGAAGGCTTCAGGACTCAGTGACGCGGGCCCTCGAGGAGCCGCAGTCGGCCTCCAAACTCATCCTCGACGCATCATCCTTAAAGTTACTGATCAGCCGGTTGGACCGTGCCGAGCGCTACCGCCGCGCCCTGATCTGGCAGAAGCGCTTCTTGCAGATAGCCTACAGCACCCATCTGGAGAATCAAGCGGAACAACTAGACTTGGTCCAGAGCTGCAGCTACTACGAAACGTACAAAAAAGGGAAGCCGAAGAGGCGCAACCGATTCAAGGCAGTTGCAATCATGTGCGTGTTCATCCGGAGGATCAGGAACATGCATGCGCGCCACTCGAGCCCGTTTAGACTTTCGTCATTGTACAGCGTCCCTGCGCCATTGTAGTTCTTACGTTGTGTTTTTTGAAACCGTGCCATGAAATTTCGACTTATTCAAGTCTTACTTTGAATTCTTTCCGAACTGGCTTCTATTTTTAAGATTTCTTTCGGTAATTCGTCAGTATTTTAAGCTTTCAACTTTCCCAAATGTTCAAAGCCAAAATATCCATCCACCCGTAGATTTTTCTCACCCTACAAGATCAGTTTTCGAACCAAAGATTAGGAAAATAACTGTTCTGAATGTCACCGACTTAAGGAGTGGTAGGAATGTAAAATCTTATGTTTGACTCATTCTTAGCAGTCAGGGTGCTCTTGTGTCTAAATCAAGATAGTGGAAGATAAGTGGCCATGAGAAATTGTAATTGTCACGATTTCTGGTAAGAAATTATTATCTTAGAATACTCTCCGTAGGTCATATTTTTAGTCTGGTCTATAAGCCACAGTTCCTGTTGTAACCTAATCAAAATCGCAAGCAAATTTACCCTCATACTAGATTTCTGCCTCAGTGATTGTTACATGACCTCAAAACGGTCAATACCGTTTAATCAGGTCGTGACCTTTTTGAGGTCATAACCCAACTAATTTCAACCCCTTCCCCTTTGTAACAAATTATTCAGCCTTGCCTGAGTTACGTTATCTTTAGACATCTTTCAGGAATTTTTCAATTGGGTAATAAAGCTCAACTTCAGTATTAAAGAATGATTGTTCCTTTTGTAGTGTTAAAAATATGTGTACATTTGTATGTAGTACTTATTTTAAGTTTTGTCTAATTTTGTACAGTTGTTTTCATCACTAAATCTGCTAGTTTTATCAGGGTGTATTTTTTTGGTTTAACCTTAAAAAATTATCCATTATCCACAGTACAAATTGTTCAGTCTATTAACATAAAGTTTTAAGTATAGTTCTGGGCACTGTCTCGTATCATTCAAGTGCTTACTTTAGAATTTTTCGCACTTCAAATCCGTATGGCGTTAGTAATATTAGGTACAATGCATTAGTGCTTGTATATAGATAGTACTTTTTGACGTGTTCTATCCTTATAAAACCTCCGAATTAACTTTAATGCACCTTATCTAGTCGAAAACTCAGTTTCTTATGTATTTCTGATTAAATTTTGTGTTTGAGACTTTACCTCATTTCGTGCTTTAAGTGTAGGAGTATTCCATCATTTTGTAGTTATGTGTTATTCCACTTCAAAATTCATAACAAATGGAAGAAAGTAATTTAGAGAATTTTTATAGCGAAGTAAGCTTTCCAAACATTTTTCAGAGCATTTGATTGTGTAATGAAGAGCTGGAATTTTTTCTAAAAGAAATGCAAACTGCCCCCTCACTAGCAGCAAGTTACACGGTCAATGAGCATTCGATAAAAATGTAGAACAAAAACTACTCGCTATCAAAAGAATTAATCTTTAAATTTTCTCCCACCATACATCTAATTCAATCAATCAAATTTGTCAGTCAACTTAGTCATTACATAGGGTTTGTCACTGTAAAATAATTATTTGCTTTTTACTTAGGAAGGAAGAAGAATGGAATGGCTCCTTTGACTCCTTCGTCCCAAATTCTGTTGTTTGTGAGATTTCAGTTGCGAACAACTTTAATTATTTTTACCCATGTTAATTGAGTGCTGGTTTTCAATTTGGCAGCCTTGAGAAGTGAAAAGCAGATTTAACATTAAATAAAAATAACTTGCAGATTGCTCAAACTATGTAAGCAATTCTCATTTAAATTTGAATTTATTTTGCTCTAACTCGCAGTTGCGATTGGTAAATTTTGAGCTTCAGAATCATACCATATCGTTATTATTTTGTGCCTTAGTACTTAAAATTTTGAATTTTATCCTAAATATTTACAACGTTGCTCAACAAGCTTGCGTGCTTCACAAGTGGTGTGCCATGATTATAACCATTTTTCATTATGTGATAATTTTGTTTCGTATTTTGTTAAAAGCGGCTGCCAAATGCAGCAATTATGCCTGACTGATGTTGCAGTCTAATTAACAAAGATCCTTGATCTTAAATTTATTGAAATTACGTTTGAGTGTTTAATGCGTCCTCAATTCTCAATTCCTTTTTTACGTACTTACTCGTTTATGTCTCTGTTCATTAAAATGTAAACTGTTCTTTTGATTGATGTAATAAATTTAAACTTTTACGGTATTTTATATTTTTGCCATCAAAAATGTTTTGAAACCTCGAGAAATATTTTTTTCATCATGAATTTTTTTTTTTTTTTTTTTTTTTTTTTTTTTTTTACGAATGTCTCTTAACAATAAAAGAATCAACATGTTAAGGTGGATCTTCAGCTTTTGCGCAATGCATTTTGGGTACAATCGATACAACCCAATTGAATTATTTTAGAAAAATCTAAATTTCAGTCTGCAGATAAATCATTGAAGAATGTTCATACCGAAAATCACCCTTTAAAACCTTAAAACAAAGTCCAAAGTACTGTTTCCAATTAACCATCGATATTGATACATTGAAATTGGTTGCAAAATGGAAGCAGTACTTTTGAATTTATTGCAAGATTTTGGAGAGTAATTTTTGGTAGGAACAATTCGTCATTGATTTATCTACAGACTGAAATTCAGATTTTCTAAAATAATCGTACGTTTGAAATGCGTGGAGCAAAAGCTAAAGATCCACCTTAACAAGGCAGTAAAAAGCTTTAATTGGGACTGAAAAACCGCCTAACTCAAAATATAGTTCCAGGTGATCAAAACTAATTATCTTGGAATCGAGGAAAATTAAGAGTGAGATTAAATTTTAACATTTTCATTTTATTCAGTTAGCACATTATTACATGTATATAAATAAGAAAATAGAAATATGGTCCTAAGACTTTTAATACATATGTACATATAAAATATAAATACAAATTTTGAAGAATTAATAAAAGAGGCACTAATTTGACGCACATTCAACATTTTAAAAACAATCAGTATAAATTTTGACAACGAACGACACAAAAAAATAAAAAAAAAATTGATAGTTTTGAGCGTTGGACAAAAATTTTGTGGAAAAATTGTGCATGAAAATTGAATGGTAAGTGCTGAATATGCATATTTACTACGCCTGAATTAAACGTAGGTGCACAACTGTTGAGAGAGAACAAAATATTGCTTGATGGCGAGGAGTTTCAGGCACAAACTTTAACTTCATTCTGATGGGGAAAATATAGCTCACTTGGAGAGAAGATGGTTTTACGACATAATTTAACAGGAATATGTTTAAACGAAACAGCATATCATCTTTAGATACAACTTTGAAATGTAAGGATTGAAAATTTAACTTGTCCAAATAAGTTAGTTTGTATTTTGAACCAAACGATTGAAATCTCCAGATCAATTTTGCAAGAAATAAGAGAGGTTTGAGTGTAAGATTAAAATTTTGCTATCAGTCATTATTTTATAATCCAGTTTTTGAAATTTGGGAATGCTTCTTCTAAAAAAAACATGAAAAACAGCCGCTCAGTAAAACTACCTTCCTATTCAGTAAGTAGAGCACACTGATTCAAAAGTTTTTTGGACATACATGCAAGATCATCTGAATTTGGTTGAGAGCTGTGGATAACATTCTTGCCTGAAGCCAAAGTGTGATTAAATACAGTTTTTGAACAAAGCAAAGACAAATTGTGAGCTGAAGAATTTTGAAATACTTGCTGAACAAACAAAGTTCGTTCCATGTATTTCGAACATTTGTACCTTTGAAATTTGTAAGCTCTAAAAACTTAAAAGGAGAAACACAATTTTGAACTGATCATATCAAAAGCACTGAAAGTGTTGCACTCATACACTGAAGTTTGCTGTGTTGAAAAGTTTTCCAGCTTATCAAAATTAAAATTTGTAGCATGAACGAGGTCAGACATTTTGACAGGATTAAAGACTACCACATGACAGTCATCCTGTCTACAAAAACAAAAACAAAAGTGCCAAGAAAAGCAATGGAATGTGTTAGTAAATGATGCTTTAAAAAAACCAAGATACAAAAAAAAAAAACTGAATTTAAAAGGAATTTTTTTTCTTCAGAAAACAAGTGCAAAAGCAATTACTCCTCAACCTCCTGAATCACTGAATGACAGGATGGCTCTCTGACTCACTTTTCCATTTAAAGATGACTGACAAAGCAAAATTTTCAGATACAAAAATTTAATACGACTATAGTGACAAATACAAGACAATCAAAAAGCACGGCTTAGATTAAAATAGAGCAGAAGTTGAGTAACAACTGCCAGTTTTTATTTAAAGAGAAAAAAAGAAAATAAACGAGCTGTTCTAGATTGTTGCAAAATAAATAAATGGGGGAAAAATTCAAGTCAAAAAAGGTGTAACTTCCTTTGATCTATTAAATTTGATGATGCCTGACAAATAGACTATTGTATTTATATTTTCAAAAAGTTTAGATTCTCATTTTGAAATAATAAGCTCAGTTAAGTATGACACAATTATTTAGTGATTTTTGGCAAAGACTTTGAACACTGACTTTCCTTGATAGTAAAATTGAACAATAGCAGATGCAAACCTGAGACTTCATCTCTTGATTGACACCAAAGTGTAGTTTCAAACTTTTATTGATTCCAATTGGAGACAATTCTCATTTGTTGACTAGAAGAAACAATTTAAGTTATTGCGAGAGTTGTGGTGAGCAGGAATCAACGGCTAAGACTTACAAGAATGTTTCGTGCAGAAAGTAGAAACTCTAAATTTAATTGCAGGCCATCTCTCTGGTTACTTTATTTATTCACAAAGTATTGAACAGCATATCAGAGGGTGAGGGATGTTGAATGTAATTTCAAACAAAACTTCATGTGGCCCATCAAGAACAACTTTTAGAGGAATTCCCTTAAAAAAATACTTCTTAGCAACTGAGTTCGATACTAGACGTATCAAACATCTGCAAGACTGAAACAAGTACTAATACAAGGCCCACAAAAAGGAAGGTAAAAAAAGGGGGTGACAATTCATTGATTTCTCCCATTTAATGATAAAAAAGGTTTACTAGGATGAGAAATGGCGCACTGAAAGTTTATCGATACCTATTTGAACGCTCTCCAGGGACAGAATCTTTTCTTAAAGAACCAATTTTATCAATTTTCATATTATCTATTATCAATTATCGCATCTTCTAAGGCCAACCCTTGATTCCTAACTTAATCCACAATTCTCAGCGTTAGTACAATATAAAATAAATGAAAAAAAAATGTTTTAAAAAAAAAACAAAGGAAAAAAATGAATAGAAAAATGGCATGTAAAAATTAATCTACTCTCTTTTTACAATGCAATGCTCTTATTCAGTATGTACAAAAGTCAAAATTGGTGCAGATACATACATACACATTAGTCTCCAAGCTCAATTTAACACTGGAGATATCAACAAAATCTTGTGTGGGACTTGGAAATTGCACTTGAACTGACCTAAATTAGTGTAACTTGATACTGTACTGAATAACTGCCTTCAAATATTATTTGTAACGCAACACAGTTGGTGAGAAAAAAAAGGGGAATTAAAACTGTGAAATCTGTTTGGTAGCTTTAATACTCAAAAACAGGGAGACTTAAGGCTATCCTAGAAAATTCTCAGACCCTCAAAAAAAATGAGAATTAAAAATTACAAAGCATTTTATAAGAATCCTTCCGGGTAGAAAAAAGCTAACACAGTTTACTGTTGTCCACAAATTTCATGAAAGTTAACAGAATCTTGACAAAGAGAGGGCTTAGCACAAAAAGAGCATTTACGTAGGGAAATGACGCTTGTGACATTATAAATGCACATTACAAATTCAAGGCACAAATTTATTGCCTTTCAGACATTTACATGCACCTGAGCTGCAGGAACAGAGGACAATCACAAACAATGTTCGATTTCTTTTGTTAATGCAAAGTAAGGGGTCAAATTATGGTGTGAAGATGGTGTATGGTTTGAAATATTAACAGAACTGAAGAGGAAAGAGAAGAAAAGAAAGAAAGAAAAAAAAAACACCAACTGTTAAGAAAAAAATTATATGGACAAGACCCAACGGTATATTTGAAAGAAGATATTGCCAACTGAAAAATGAAATTAGATGATTCATCAAAAGATAAAAAAAAAACCATAACTTTCCATGGGTATGTATAACATTGCGGCAATATTTTTATCACCTTTGATGATATTATGGCTAAGTTACCACAATATAGTGAGGTGAAGAAACTTTTGCTAAGAAAACAGCTGTCTAAGAAATGTATGGAACTAGGTGACCAGTATTCCATATAATGAAAGCATTATTTGATAGGAGAAAACCCAATATTCCTAGGTCCTGGGTAAAGCTCCAATCCTTCCATATAATTTACAACAAAAGATAACGCAAAGACATATTAAGGGTTCAAATATTGGTACTCGAGTCCAAAGCTGTCTAAATTACTATTATTGATGATTTGATCTGCTGTGAACTTTGAAAACAAAATAATATTTCAGAGTAATTGAGATTGATCAGGATGTGAATAAATCATTTGATCCTAACTTGCTTATTTTTGATTTAAAAAGAGAAAAACAGAAATCCTCATACCTAAAAATAAATTTCGTTGATGATTCACAGTTTTCTGAAGATTAAAATTATTTCCAAGTTTTTAAGATATGACGCTCAGAAATACTACTCGATAATTTAGCGATTAATCTTGATGCTGCTTAATAGTTAATTTATGAATAATTTTGATTCGTAAAGTCATTTACGAGACATAGCTCCTTTTTGCACATAATTACATAGATGTTTTACTTCAAAAGATTAGATAAAAGAGCAAAAATTGAAAGGAGGATGCCGGAACACAGAAAATGCAAAAGAGAAACTAGGTTGAAATGTTCTTTCAAGAATTGATTTTAAAAAGAGCACAAAGCAGTAGTTCAGATGGTTTGACTGATGCAGCAAAACTTTCGGAACATCCGGATTGCATCTGTATGGATGAGAGGAATGATTCATTAAAAGAAAAGAATCTAAAAAAATCAACTTTACTCGAGAGCAGAGAGTTTGATACTAAGATTGGTCCGGCCGTGGGGGTGAGGATTCACATGATTAATGGACGGCAATGAGGCTACAATGTAGCTTTCTAAGTGACTGCGTGAGTAGTGCCAAACTTTTACAACTGATCAAAGCAAACAGAACAATTCAAAGCATGGAGGTTGAATTGTGAGAAAAGGGAAAGTAATAAAATTAAGAAAATAGGTAACAACAGTAAACAAGCTGGCTTAAAAAAACAACTCCTAATAATACCATCAGTTGCGAGCGACTAGGCATTCTAAAAAACTTTATTCCTGACTGCTTGGACAACTTGACTGGATGTGAAATACAAAAACCTGAACACTAGTAGCATCACTAGATGAGGCATGAGGTGCAGACGAGACACGTCACTTACAGCAAAATACAAGGTGGTGGCTAGTCAGAGATTTGTTCCCACTGACATCAAGCAACAGGACTAGAAATTAGCTAAAAAATTGTCGAAAACGTTGTACCATGCGAGCTTGAAATCGATTTTTCACCGTGAAGTGCTGTATTTGATGGTAACGAACTGACACTCTTCTGTATCATATACTGTTTTCTTGAAAATTATTAATAGGAGGTGAAAGTTATAAAATGAATTTCTCCATTTGCAACGTTGCTTTTAGTTACATTTTGCTCATTCAGAGAAAAACTGATGAAAATTGGGTTTAAAATAGGAGTTCAAATCTATCTGTCCTTAGTGATGTAAATTACTTTTTAGAATTGTTGCCAATCTTTCTCCTTCCCCAGCGGGATATTTTATGAAAACGTCCCAGAATAACATTCAATCCATTTCCTTGGACAATTTAGATAAAACAGACATTTTGAAGGGTCCAATTTAACAACTTTTCCGATCAAAATTTTAAACCATGCTCGAGTCGTGACTGAATCAAATGACTCAGAAAATTTTCGCTAAATCTCAACTGGCCACCACCCTAAGTTTTCACTCTACGGATGGAATACTAAAACCCTCATACTTGAAGGACCATTTGAAAAGACATAGGCTACAGACGAAACACTTTCGGACAGCGCTTTGACACGCTCAATACGTTCTTCATTCAGTAGCCTGTTTCCTTCCTCAGCAAGAGCCTCAAGAAGCGTCCTTCAGATGTTGCAGCTTGAGGAAGGCGCTCCTTCCGATGTAAAAACTTGGGGGAAGCTCCTCTCCAGATGTCAGACCTCCGAGGAATCATCCCTTCAGATGATACAGCTTGAGGGGAGCTCTCCTTCCGATGTCAGAGCTTGAGGGAAGCCTCCCTTCAGATGTTAGACCCTCAGGGAAGCGTCTCTCCAAATGTCAGAGCTTAAGGGAAGCATCCCTTCAGATGTTAGACCTCCAGGGAAGCGTTTCTCCAGATGTCCGAGTTTCAAGGAAGCATCCCTTCAGATGTTGGACCTCCAGGGAAGCGTCTCTCCAGATGTCCGAGTTTCGAGGAAGCATCTCTTCAGATGTCGCAGCTTGAGGGAAGCGCTCCTCCCGATGTCAGAGCTTCAGGAAAGCGTCCCTTGAGCAGTGGGAGCTTGGGGTGAGCGGGGATTGGCGGGCTTTGGCAGTCGGTCTCAGGTTCGAGGGCGGAAGGGGCGCTATCTGCAGGGGGCCAGGAGGACCTCGAGCCACGTCGGACAAGACGTGACCTCTTGCCTGGAGTATTTGGGTCCCCAGCCTTTGGCGAAGGAGATGCGCACTGTGTTCCGATCTACGGGGCCGGTGGGTGGGCGAGGGTGGGGGTGAGTGCCGTCGCAGTAGTAGGGCGCCGAGAGACCGAGCGAGAGGCCCGGCACGAAGATGTTGAGGCAGGAGCCCGACGACACCCGGTGGACGAGGAGCGACCTCGAGTCCGGGTCCTCCAGCGACGGCGAGTGCACGAAGATCGGCCACTCGCTCCGGTTGTACACCCACACTCCGTCGTCCTCCAAGCTTAGCGTCATACCTGCAACCAACAAAACGAAACCATACGTTACTCCATGTGTACCGAATACATTCTAATCTAAGGTACAAAGGACGGGTGGGGATCATCCGGAGTTCCGCCCAGCGACGGGAAGAGACCCTCCGTTGGTACCTCGACAAAGAGAGGAAGAGAGATCCTCCGTTGCTGCCTTGGTAATGGTCAGAGACTAATAGAGATGTTGCATGTGTGAGGGGTTTGCGAATTGACTGTTGTTTCTTACGTAAAAGTTCGCGAGAAACACGATGGTGCCACTGGTTTTCTCTGAAATCATCTCCCAAGCTCAAAAAAAGCTCTCAAAGTGAGACCAAAATGGAGGGGATATCCCGCCCTACCTTGAGAGTCCACCTCTACATCAAAAGAAACTCTCCATGCAAAGATAGGGAGCAAATACATTGACAGGGCTGCCACTTCATTTAGGGACTCCAAAACTGAAAACACGGCAACCCTGCTGATGTATTTGCTCCCTATCTTTGCACGGAGAGTTTGTTTTGATGTAGAGGTGGACTCTCAGGGTAGGGCGGGATATCCCCTCCATTTTGGTCTCACTTTGAGAGCTTTTTTTGAGCTTGGGAGATGATTTCAGAGAAAACCAGTGGCACCATCGTGTTTCTCGC